TCCTGATCGTGAGTATAGGACCTCTCCCAGGAGTCCGCATCCGCATGAGCCGCATGAGGCTCTCTTCACGGCCACCGCACACTCAGACGCCCGTACTGGGCTGCTAAAAGGGGTGGGTGTGGGGGTGGGTGTGTGGTTGGGCCTGATATCCCTTGAAGAGAGATCGTAATGGTGGGTTGTGACTTTCCTGCATGAGATTCCGGAATGAGCCTGCATCCTGGAAGCGGAATCTTGCGCCATCTGTGGCCCGGCTGAGTTATCGCTGGACATTCGCCACGCCAAAGCGACACGTGTCCGCAGCACGTGTCATGTGAATGCTTCCCGATGTCAGCTACAGCTGCACTCCGCTTCTGCGCGTGTATGAAATGAACGGGCCCCCTCCCGTGTCTCCCCGTGCGACAGGACTACGTGGGCTTGCGCGGAGTCTTCGCCGTGGGCTGCGCCGTGCTCACGCTGCCCGTCTTTGCACTCCTGGCCTTCACCTTCGTGCCTCCACTGGTCTCCACCATCTGGCTGGGGGTCACCTACTCCTTTGCTGCCGTGAGTACATGTGGCATTGTGAACCGTCGTGGGGGTGGGGCTTACACGCCGTTTGGCGTCACCATGAATTTACAAGAAACAGAGAAACCTACTGAAAACATGCCAACATAGTGTAAAGGGTTAATTTAAAGGGCACAAGGCCGTAACTGCTAACATACCACTAAGTGCTTCATACATACTTCCTTACATAAACTGCTATGTAAATACAGAAGTCACTGATAACATTGCTTTTTATTTCTTATTTTGTTTTATTTCTATTGTTGTTTTGATCATATATTTAAAAAGATATATAAAAATAATTTTTCTTGTGCTACGCATTTCCTTTTGAGCACAATCCAGGAAACCCCTCACTACACACGTGTGCAGTTTATGTTTTGTGTAGGTGACAAACAAACCTTAACTCAAAACTCAAAATTAACTCGGACTGGAAATAAAACACAGGCAGTATAGGAAAAGGCATCAGCTGCGGGTAACTGCCATCTCACTGCTGTCATGTGAGGCCCGGCTGATGACTGACAGCCTCTCTGCGCTCTGAGATACGGGGGGAGGTCAGGCAACCATGCTGACTTCACGCCATGTGACCTCTCAATAAGACGAGCTGTATTGAAGAAATCAAACTGGGCATTCTTAATGTGAATTCAAAGTTGGTGAGATGTAAACCTCATTTATGTAGGCCTATATGTATACAGTCAGCCCTCGTGCATTCGCACTTTATGATTTGCGAATTCACAGATCCACGAAAATTTCATTGGAACCGAACTTATTTGCATCTGTGATTTTTTATTTTTTTTTTTCCCCGCACATCTGCGAAATCCTCCAAAAAACCCTACAGAAGTGTTTGTTTTATTTTCGTACTAATTTATAAGTTTTCATGCTTTTAAGTGTAAAATTGGTAGGAAAAATGTAGTTAATGAAGATTCTACTGTTTTTGGGGAAAGTTAGTTAAGAAATCCCTTAAGAAAACGTGGCTTTGTTATGGAAACATTTCTTTTTATGTACATGCTGTACTTTACCTTTACAAGATGCGAATCCCATTCGCAAAGTTTATTCCCTTTGGAAAGCTAATGGTTACATAAATATTAGAAAATAGTTCATTTACTATTTCGTAATGGTAAGTACACGTTAACGTAAATTCAAACCCAAACGCTCACTAATTCATAATCATCATTATCTTAAATCAATATTCATCATTGGTGAGTACCCATACTACTGTTTTTTATTAAATATTTTTAATGTGTGTATATATTTTTGTTCTCTCTTTTTTGTAATTTGCGCACACATAGTATTTTTATAACTTATTTCTGTACGTCTTTACGTAATTTTTAATTGATTTAATACCTGTATCCTGTACGTGAGGTATATGTTTCCTTAACGTATTTTATTGAATTGTACCTTGGTTACGTATATGTCTTCTGTCAATGAGTAAACGAACGGGACAGTAAACTTATTTTAACTTACTGTGAATGCAAAAGAAAATGGCAGCCAATGCCGTGTTCTATGAATTAGTAGGGGTAACATTAGTATACTGTACTGTAAATGTGCTAGTGTGACAAATATCTGTTAGGCGATACTGCACTCTATTTTTACATCAAACATATATATGTCACACAAAAAAAAAATTATATATATATATATATATATATATATATAATTTTTCATTTTTTTTTTTTAAAGGTAATGTATTAAGCTAACTTTGAAAGGAAGTTAAAGTGTTTTTGGAGCATGACTGGGGTCATATTTAGGGTTTAAACTATAGAAATAAGCACATATTACCATTTTTAGTGACTCTACCAAACATCCATGAATCCTCCTCATTTGCGACGGGTTCTGGAACCTAACCTCACGAATGTCCGAGGTCTGACTGTATATAAATGTATATAATGGCTGTTCTGCATTATTCTGTATATGTATGGTTTACTGTGTAGTTTGTTCTCCCAAAGGGGCGGTGAGTTTGGGATATTCTCTTATCACGCTGTTCTGCATAGTAGAGTGGGTCAAATTGGAACTTTGTATTTCTGAGGTCTGATAGGGGAATTCTAGTGCAGATTACACACATCTTTTATCAAGCCCCAGCTTGTGGACCTCTGTGCTGATAAGAGCTAAGGATTTATAGACGAAAACACAACAGCCTGACTCGTGGAATATCTGATCTCTTGGTTTGTGCAAACAATGACGTTCTGTGTTGCATTGTAGTATCCTTGACCCCTGTGACGCAGTGTCGCATTTTCCTATGCATGCTTTCTTCCGCATTTCAGGCGAGTATGTGGCCTTCCATCCCGCTGGTTGTCCCGCAGGCCACCTTGGGTACGGCGATGGGCCTCGCCACCTCTGTCCAGATGATCGGCATCGGCCTGTCCAACCTCATCGTGGGCCAGATTTTGGGGACTAAATCCAGGTAGAAAGCCTGGAGCGTCAGGGTTTGAGGAAACCACACCGTGTATTTTCATAAGTGTTACCGACCTGTGGTCAACGGCCTGAGGGTCGGTAGCACTGAACGGCAGAGGAATGGTCTCACACCTCTGTCCCCCCCCCACCCCCCCGGCAGTGACGCCAAGATCCCACTATGGCGCTGGCAGAGGATGATGGTATTCATGCTGGCCAACACCATCTGCTGCATCATGACTTCAGTGGTGCTCAACGTGGTGGACCACCGCCAGGTGTGTGCACTGCGCTCACTACCCCCCTAAACACACACTTGTTCCTGCCGCTCTCACAATCGGGGGATAAGAATTTGGCGACTGAGGCCCTTATTTATGTAGTTGCCCTCATCAAAGGTCTCGCGTGCGATTTCACGCTGCAGATATACAGCATACGACACTGCAGATTTCCTGGTGCCGTATAGCAGTGTGTGGCTCAGCGGCTTAAGGCCCAGTGCCAGAAGGTTGTTTATTCAAATCCCATGGGCAGCGGAGTAATGCTGCGTGACCCTGCACTCCGATCCCAAGCTTTCCTCACGAGTGCATCGCTTTTTACAAAAGCATCTGATAAAGAAATGCAAATGATCCCTTTCTGCCTGAATTGCATCAAGACTAGTGATCTCAACCTTAAATCCCATCAGGCCACAGGTTTTAAGGCCAGCGCATTCAAATACTGTGGCTCTTTCCCATTGTGAAATTCTGATTGTAAATGCCCTTGTGAGAAGGCACAGGTGTAAATCCATGCCAACCATAATAGGGAAACAGGATAGAAGGAAAACCAGCTGACTAGTGTGAGAGATTCCCAGTTTGGGCTGATTCTTTTTCTGTACGTCATCCGGCTGGAGAAACCACAGGGGATGTCGGGCATGCTTCTGATAGCACGACAGGAATCAGAAGTGCATCAGATCTGCTCCCCCAAACCCTGTGGAACGAGCCGGATGTCTGACGTCAGTATGGATGAGTGCATTACGGCATTTCCTTGATACAGGCCTGTAGGATGACCTTTAGCATTTGAAATGAATGGCTAGATCTCTCCAGGAGGATAGGAAAGCCATTGTAGCAGATTTCCCACACACTGCGGCCTCACCACTGGGGTTGCAGGGTTGAATGTTACCCCCGCTGTCTGTGAGCAGATCCCGCCTGCTCTGTCTTGGGGGTTTCTTCTAGATTCTCGTTTCCTCTCACAATCCAAAGATATACAGTCAGGCAAGTTTGTGTCTCTGAATTGCCTGCAGTCTATGATTGGGTGCATGTGCCCTGCAATGGACTGGCATCCCATCCAGGGTGTACCCCAGCCCGGTGCCCTATAATAGACTGGCATCCAATCCAGGGTGGACCCCAGCCTCGTGCCCTATGCTCACAGGGATAGGCTTCAGCCCTCCCCATGCTCCTGACCAGGATAACTGGTTGTAAACACGTTCATTATTTCCACTTATTTTTTTCCCTCAGGGTGGGACCTTGAATAAAACCACAAAGAGGACGGCAGCTCAGGAGGACCCCAGTGCTGCAGACAGGGAGCCCCTGCTGGATGAGCAGGAGGGCCAGGGTGTGCCGAACACCCCAGACAGCTCCTCGTCCAGTAACAGGAGCTAGCCGCTGTCCAGGGTCAGCCAATCAGCGTCCTCGAAGGTCACTGCTTTTTTTCAGTGGTTACCAACAGTCAGAGTTCACTGATCTAATCATTTTGTGTAATATTGTGCAATTTTAATGATTTTACCTGTGGATGTATTATACTAACCACCATCCCTGAGTAAACAGTTTTAACATTTTTTTTAAATCCTGCATTTTAAGAGGCACATCCAAGTAAAGGCCAGTCAGTTGTGTGTTTTTCCAGAAGTGTTCAGTTTTGCAGTCAGACTGCAGTGCCTTTGGGGAAAGGTCAAAGGAGCCCCCTCTACAGAAGCATTACAATGCTGAAACTGCTTCTACTGTAGTTCATTCAACAGTTATTGGGGGGGGGGGGGTACACTTTTTGTGGAATTTGAGGAGCTGCTTAAATTTTTTTTAATAACATGGTTAAATAAAACAGTTCAATCTGAAGGATTTAAACATGTAAAATATTAACTTTATTGCAATGCTCAGGCCAGCCAGACACACTTTCATGTAGAGAAGGCACAGAGAACTTGTACCAGCAAACAGTTTGGCATACCAGCATGTGTTTGGACTGTCAGGTGAAGATTCTCCCCCTTTTATTCTCCCACGCAGTTTGCGTTCATACTTGTGTTTCAGGTAAGTTAAAACAAAAGCCCTTCCAGGGATTAAATAACCGTAGACTGATCAGTCTACTCCCACTGACAGGAGGCTGGGACTAAAGACATGATATGTAGGCACAGTACATTAAACAATGAGGTGAAACAGCGCTACGCTACAGAAAGGGGGCAGCTTAAAAAAAAAATATATATATATATATATAGCTTTGGCCAGATTAAAACCACAAATGCAAAAACAATAGAGGGGGACTTAAAGAATGAGAATAGTTTGAGACCTTAAACCAGCAAAGGGTCAAAACTGAGGGCAGGTAACATATCAGTAACCCAGAGGATCGACAGAGGAATTTGGTCACACTTCATCAAGCTCTACCCTGTGGCTCTTTGCAAAGAAGTCAAACTGGAAAAAAATCCGTTGATTCAGTTGAATTGGAAGGAATTTTAGCGTTTAAACACAAGTTTTTGGACTTCAGTGATTTGAAGTGCCCCAGAAATGGACTGAAGCCCTTACCTTTCGCAGCATATACTTTCAATGAATTACAGCGAGTTTTGGCAAAAGTTACAGGGGGCAACTTAACAGGTAGAAAGTGCAAGAGGACTGAAGGAAGGGGGGCATCAGTAAAACACCACGCTGGATTTGCCGCCGGGGGGGTGGATCACCTTGTTGTGCGAGCGGGGCTTGGGGCCCAGCCTGGGCTCATGGTTGTCAGCATTCTGCTGGGGGGAGGACTGGTCTGCCAGCTCCTTGGCGCTGGGGGCCGTGTCCTCCTTGCCAGGCGCAGATCGTGGCGGGGTGTTCCGCTCCTTTGGAACTGGAGGAACCATGATCACACTAGTCAAACTGGTTTCTCATGTGCTGGAGGTGTCCGTCACTATGGTTGTATGTTGCTGACAGAAGTTTCAAGCACTTGACTGACCCATACGTAAAAATTCATCCAGCAAAAGCAGCATAGGACACATTTGCGATTGGGATCCTCCGTATCACTACAGCAATGCTCTGCACGTCCAGGAAGATGCAAGCCATTTGTGGCACTAATGCCAATAGAACATTGTCCTTCATGTTCCTGCCTATCGAAAAATTAATAAACAGGACATTTTAAAGGTGCAGTGTGGATTTATTTAATTCATTCAATACAGATTCCTATTCAGGGTGTGGAAGATGGATGCACTTACAGTACACCAAAGCCCCCCCAAGTGACAAGTTGATTCATGATTTAATTAAGTTATAGCTAGACCATAATAGTCAGAACTGCTTAGTGTCACTAGCCAAGGCTACAAGCTATTTTGCCATCAGCATCTTCTGTTCAACATGCTACATTGCATGTGCAGGTTATTCAAGATAACCAAGACGTTCTCTACAGTCTCATCTTTAAAACAGAATTCCTTGAACACAGTAGTGCATTCAGAGCCATCTGATTTTCTGTAATTGTTGTACTGAGGTTATGTTTCCAACACCCTGCCTTAATTCGATGTTTACTGCAATGACACTGCAGCCCTTATTGCCAATTACTACTGCAATGAGTAACAACATTGTCTTGTGTACACTCAGACTCGCCAGGCCAGATCAGAGTGTCATAGGGAGTTTCATGTACGCCACCTTCAAATCAGAAAAGCTCAGCCAGATCCAGAAACCGTGACTGGATTTATCAAGTAACTGGAGTCGTACCAGAGAGTTTCACCTCAGTGAATGTGGAGTTTTCATTCTTAAATTTCTTAAACTGAAGACCTTAGATCAAATTGCTATAATACATGAATAACGTGTGGGTAGAACTCACCTTCAGGTCCAGGCAGGGCGTTTATGCCAATGTTGTCCTGAACAAGAAGAGCACACAATAAATTCAAATTATATGTAAGTGCACACATGCTCTTGGTATGATGCATTAAATTGTACACGATGATACAAATTTGACATTTGCAAGAAGTAAATGCCTGATCCCTGCATCACTGAGGAGGGTGCAGTAAATACCTTTGGTTTGTTGGGATGACTGCGGGTCGATGGCGGATTGCTTGGTGAGTCCACAAAAATATTACTTGTGGAGGGTGCAGTCGGTCTGGAGACAGGCGTCTGACCCTCTGAGAAAATCCCACTGCTCTTCCCCCCTAAAGACAAGCCAACGTCAGCTGCTGCCGGAAATCTCATGCGTGTGGTAAGCAGATTAATTCAGGTAGACTTCAGGTTCGTGACGGCGTAGATTACATTACACCGCACCAATAACTGACAAAACTTGACCTGAGCTGTATACAAGGGAAACAACTTTTTCCCTCAAACCATTACATACCACCAGCTCTTTGTATTGTGTTCAGAAAACTGTATGCAAAATAAATCTTTAATGCTATAAAGTTGATCATAGCTACAAACTTGGTATCTTAAATTTACCACTCAAAAAACATAAAAACTCATGCAAGCCAGAAGTGCACTGTTAGGTGCCAATATCACCTGGGGGGTTTGTCCTTTTCGCGCCGCTCTGGGGCTCTTCGGTGGCCACAAAAATGTTGGAGGCCATCTTGTTTGCCTTCACAGGTGAAGCTGGTGACTCGTCACCTCCAAACAGGTTACTGGAGCCTCCTCCTGGTGGTCTAAGCACTCTAGAATTTCAGCAGGGTCAAAATGGTCAGTTTAAATGCCCAGGGAAGCAAAAATCTATATTGTATAAAATACAGAAAGTCAATTTGGTATATTCCCAGCACATGCAGAACATTGTTGAAATGCAAGAACTCTTCGCGTGGTTCAAAATCCTGTTAAGGGGATATAAGGCGGGAGGGATATCAGGCGGCATGGTGACGTAAGCGGTGTCACCAGTGTGGACTGTAAACGGACCAGCGGGACGCCAAGCCTGCCGGCTTATCGGCGTCCATTAAGGCACCGTAAAGTGCATTGCTGGGTAGCTACAGTATCGTTTCCTGCGGGACAAAGCATTTACACCCTCCTTCGGACCCCCCATATCTCGGCGTCCCTGTAAACATATCACACAATGCTTGACAGAAACTAGCCGTTGGCAAAATATTAAAGACAAGTTGCCTAGACTTGTAAAAAGAAAATCTCTATCTTGCCTCTGGACCCGAAGAACTAAATACCACAATCACAGGCATGCGACAATAGCCGATGTCCACTCATAAAGCAGAACAATAATCGAGTGCGATCTCTCCTCACAATCAGCAATGACACGTGGAAATGGGACCGTCTGGATACAACGTAATGTGCAGTCGTGCTGGATAACTCAACTTATCCACGTAGCTACAAGGATCTGCGCTCGCGGGTATTGCTGCGTGTAAGCAAGATTAACCAAAAACAAAAAAGCTTTACCAGATTCCTTAAAACACGGCGACTGGACAAGATAGCCTGCCTACACACGCAATACGTTACAACACCAACTACACAAAATTTAGTTCACATGTCGCAGATTAGCAACACCTGGTTTGGCTTTACTGGCAAAACAGGGCGATCATGCGGATATATCGGCTTTTCTTGGCGTAGAAAGAGCGAAGAAGTGCAACACTAACAACAAATCGAGGCAGTACATTATGACTGCCAACTTCCTCTTTACACGACTTAACTTTAAACATGGTAGCTAGCACGCCTGGAGTGCTGACCGTATTGCATGCTAGGGTCTTACTCCGACGCATTTTCTCCACTTCAGCTGATTAGACAGTTACCTGGAGCTGGGCTTGGAACAGGAATCCATCCCCTGAAACGTATTTGTCGAAGTCATTGTTCGACTCGGCCGGTGACTCCTTCTCGCATAAATGCCTGCGCCTTTGCGGAGACGCTCATTTATCACGGCGCGTTTACGCACAGCGGCAGCTCGCCGACTCGCCCCCCCAACGCCCCGCTTCCGTTGCCTGCCAGAATTTTGGCTGATCCCAGATCTGTTTGCTTCTTACCGGTACCCGCGCTCAAATGTTTTCCAGCAAACCTCAAAACTGATCCAGAATCGGATTACGAACGTATCGACAGCTGATCGACCCCGCCTAGTGGGTTGGTACTCGACGGGGGGGAAATCTTTGTTTAATGACGTTTTTATATGTCCGTCACTGCGGTTTTGTTCTTTATTGGATGTTCTGGAGTATTTAGTATCCCGGGCTTAACTTTGTTTCTTATTATTTGGTTGTAGAATGTGCTGATTAGTACTTTACCTGCTAGAGACATACAAAAATAGAACGGCACGTCCCGTCAGTCTCGGAGCTCCGCTATGAGGACGAAATGGTGTAGAGCATATAAAGGTGGATCGTATCTCTTTGCAGCTACACGTTTGCTAATTATGTCATGTTTTTGGTGGATCAGCTGGTGAAACACATGCCGTACACTTCTGGGGTTGGGGGTTTGAGTCTCGTCCCCCCACTCTTTGTACGTTCTCCGTCGCGCGGGTCTCCATCCGCAGGTTTTACAAGTGCCCGGTGCTGCCTGGGATAGGCTCCAAGCGATCCTGACCAGGATAAGCGGTTAGACGGTGGGTGGATAGATTTCCGCGTGCTATTTTCCCCCTAAGCCCATTTCGGCAGTAATAAGTCCACTATATATAGAAATCTTACGACGTGTTTTTTACGCTTACATTCCAAATACCTAGCATCACACAACTAAAAAGTATCCTAAGTGAAATGTATTTACAATTATAAAATATAAATGTGTAATCACTCCTGCTGTCAAACCATTAACTTATTGAAAATCAAATAAAATGTGTATATATACATAAGTAAAATGTATATGTACTTATACTTTTATGCATCGTAAACTTGATCTTATTTTCAATTGGAGTGCCATAAGCGGATTTCCTTAACGAAAAAGTTTCTGCAAACACTTGCGATTGGTCTGTATATTTAATATTTGAACATCATTGGCTGAACGTGCAGTACTCTTGATGCGTTGAATAAAAGTAGAACGTCACCCCCGCCCCCAGGATTGTGGAATGAATGAAATGACGTAGGACAAAGTAATGGAGCACCGAGTACTGATTGTCCCTTTTGGTGGGACCAGTAATCCAACTCGAAGTGTCTATTGGCTAACTTTCCTGTCAATACGGCTCCCTTCTACAACGCGTATCGTGAATAGCCAATCAGACGGTTTGTTTGTAAACTCTAGTGGGCGTGCTGGGCTGCACGAGAAATTGTGACAGATAGCTTTTGATTTCCGCTGCAGCCTGTCCTAGTAAAGAGTAGTAGGGCTATGGAGTTATCGTGTGGGCAAGGAATATGTGTGAAAGGGTAAGGATCTTTCCTTTGTTTATTATTTGTCAAAATCTGGCCACCGAAGAACACGTGGAAAGTTGTTTATCGTAATAATAAGTGCAGTTTGTACAGTGTGTTACGTTTTGAAGCTAGCTAGCCCCCGCCCTTGTGAAGTTTTCACATGTCGCTTCTAAACAAGTGTCTAACTATCTGTTCTCATTATAAATGATTTTCCATAACACGAAATTGGTTACTGTGCACGATTTGGTGCACCATTGTGTTGAGGGAATTTACACGATTTCGGTGGTGTCGACGTAACTCATTTCCTCCGTTCGTGTCATGCCATCGACGACACCAAAATAGTTGTATAGGAACTGGAACCTGTCGGGAAGTTGTGTATTTCTGGGAATATCCGTATGGTTGTTTTTCGCGGGTTGGTTATTTTATGTATACCTTGCCGCTTTGCACCTCGCTCAGTGCAAACTTTCGCACCCTAAAACTGTTGAAACAGAACCTGCATTTGAGGAGCAGTTAAAGGCAAACATACAGAGGATGTGGTGGCAAATATGTAACGTTTCATCACACTAATATCGTTATGTATAGGCCGTTCGAATGTCAAAAATCTACTATAGGAAGATGCTTCGTTTCACATGTGCTTATAGCAGAGGCGATAAGTTCTGGTTCAGCTGTGCTAAAATGCCTTAATTTCTAAAACCTAGCTTTCTGATAGTTCACGGCTAATTGGCAACGATAAGAAAGACTAGAATATTTTAGACAATTTGTAATGCTGCATATCGTGGACAGCTATGAATAAGGGATGGCGATATACATATATATGTAATCAGAAACCAGTTTATACTTAACTAGTTCACTTTGTAAAGTGTTTTTTGTGATCCATTTTCATTATGTGGTAATATTATCACTATGTTATCATGTATTGCCATGTTTGGTCCCATGTATACTTTCTTGAGAATGTTCTCTTTTTCCTGAAAAAATGTTGACCTCTGCAGTACCTGTAGAACTGATTATTTGGTAATGTCAGGGTCTCAGTGCTGTGCAGGGTCTCTTGCCACTTAGCATAATTTACTGGAACCATACAGGAAAATAAATGTCTTATTAGGGAAATGTCACACAGAATCTAAGGAGTATCTGAATCAACTTAGTTTTGTGTATAAATACCCCAAATTATAGTAATTATGAACTCTCAGGTGGGTAAGCTTGTACGTACAGCTGAGTGGAAACGATGGGTTGAGGTCATTTTTTAATTTTAGTTTTAATACGCACGCAAATTCACCTCCGGAAAACAGCAGCCGTTTTCGGATGCCACATAGGGTGGTAATGGTCTACAGTTTGATGTTTTATGGACAAACAACTTTTTGGGAGATTTCACCGAGTGATGACGTAGCGAGGAGCGAAGTTGAGACCTCGGGCGAGGGCAGATCTGTTGCGGCGCGGCGTTAAAGTGCGACGGTCATCTGCGAGTCCCGGACGCGGCGAAGCGTCCAGCCCAGCCCCGGCGCAGCCAGCTCCACACGGGGGGCCATCTAATCGCCAAAACTTATTCGCTTGGGTCGCGATCGCACCCGAGTTTTGCCAGGACCGAGTTGCCGTTTTCAGGTGGCGGCGACGAGTTTGAACCCTGCAGCTGCAGGGGCGAGACGCAGACGGTCGCTGGCGGATCCTCGGTCTCGCTTAGGAAATATGCTCAATTTAATCAACGTTTACCGTCAAAAAACCTCGGATCCATGGTGAAGAGAAAGAGGACACCGCCTGCTCCCGAACAACACAAAAATGGGTAACATTCTGCCAAATATAAGCACTTTAATGTCAGGTTGATCGCGGCGAAATGTTTTTGCGTTGTCGGGAGATTAATGTCGTTTGGGGCTTTCGCAGGGCGCTAAACTGAAGGCGCTTATTTTCGGGGATCTCGGATAAAATAAAAGTATTGGGCCGGAGAGTCGGGGAGACTGAAATATGGGGCGTATTAACTACCTTTCGAACGATCCTGGTGTTTTTTCGTGGGAATAATAAACACACAGGGAAAGATTTTTTCAGGGTGTTTGGTCGGGACGGTGAAAGGGGATTTGAAACAAACAGCGGCGGCCATGTTGAGAGAAAAAGATTGTCGCCTCTTTAAGTTGATTAAAATGATGTGGTCCTGCGAAATGTTGCGCGTTTTTTTGATTTTTGTTATCATCACGGACCTATAGGATGACCGTGAACCCCGGAGACGGCAGCGGGGACGAAGGGGTGAAGGATTTGAGCCGAAAGCTTGAAGGTTGCGAGGAGGAGGAGAGCGGCGAGCAGGGGAGCGAGGAGAGCAATACAAAGAGAGCCGGCGATGGGATCCCCGATCCAGCGTTTGCGGGTCCGTCCGAGCCGTCGGCGGTACCCTCCACATCCACATCCACCCCAACTCCACCGGGACACAACTCGAACGCCCCGCAACAGACCTCCACCCCGACCGCCCAGAGCCAGGACCAGCATCATTTCCTGAGGTCCAGCGTCCGACCTCCCAACAAAAGGCTGCGGAAGGATGCCATTGCCTCCCCCGCGAACGGGCACAGCGGTGCCCGGGGGAAAGGTGAGCACAGGGGGGCGTGCGGAGGATCCCACCTGTGGTGGTGCACCTGGGATGCCGCCAGGGTGCCCCGAGAGCCGCACTGCTGCTGTAAAATCATTATTTTGGGGGGACTGAACGAGTGCGATAGCGGTTGAACTGCAGCGGCGTGTCCTTGCGCCTGGCTTGCCCGTGTCTGCTCTGCTGTCCCCTCGCCGGCTTTGGGGAGACAGATAAGTTTGGGGGAATCTGGAAGATCGTGATAATATTTACGAGGTGCCCTGTCATAAGATCAGATGCTGGGGTGAAATCTCTAGTGAAGGAGGGATATGCCAGGGATCATGGTGTGGGATGCTGGTATTTGCACCTTTGGTGGCTATCATAGATCTTGTTGCTTTAAGTCTGTTGATGAACATTGTTTTATGAAGAGACCTTATATTAGTTTAAACTAATAAATAGCTGATTAAAAAGTGATGCAAATCATTAATCATTAAACTGCTGTCATAATTGTGATGTGTGACATGTATTGTGGTTTTGATCATTATTACTTTCAAAGCAGATTTAAATGGTCGAGCCATTTCAAAAGTTGCAGATTTTTATAGGCCGGGCTGGAAACTGCCATCTTCTGGGTGGTAATGGTGAAAGGGAAACCTGTGTGTGATTGACTGTCCCACCCTCTTGCTGCACACTGGAGGTGCCCCAGTGACCTCTGTAGGTGCCATGCAGTGGCTGACACTGCATTGTGGCCGCAGTGGTAGGGCCCGGGACCGTGGTCTGCCCTGGTTCTGTTGGCGTGTTGGTTTTGGATCGAATGCACATTCCCCTGGCGTAAAGACGCTTTTGGAGCTTAATGACCGAAGCTTCTGCTTCCCGTCGCCAACTATTTTAGGGATTGGGAGTGAAACGGGCATCTATGGATGTCTGCTTGTTCTGCGGTCCCAGGGTATTATGCTTTTGTTTTTTTCGTATTCTATAGTAATAGGTCAGTCAGTTTACATACGCATTCGTCCGTCCATCCATCCATCTTCTAACTGCGTGTTCTGGTCGGAGTTGTGGGGGACCTGGATCTCCGCCCAGGCAGCAGGGCTGCATATGCACTAACCTTTTGTTAATAGTTTTAAACGCTTCAGCAGATAAAGCCACGAAAATCTCCAGAGAATTGTTCTGTTATGAAGGTGACATCTTCTAAATTACCGTTCTCCCTCTGATAGAAAGTCTTTTCTTCATTTTAAGTTATAGGTACATTTTACCCACATTTTAATATGTTTTCATTTGTTTTGCAGCTTCATAAAAAGCTGTCAGGTCTCACTGATTATTCAGTTTGAGAGACTGATTGTCCACCATTAGTAGGTCTTACACATGTTTATAAATTGTCTGCTGTGGTTCTGTCAGATTAGTATATGATATAATTCCGATGGATCCTGTAACGGCTCTGATCTCCTGGTTTCGGAGCGGGACGCAGTGTGTGTGCCTCTGGTGCGTTCATGTGTAGTGGAGTGTTATTTCAGACACTGCTGCTAAGGTTCAGAGCGCATGTGAACCGGAAACTCAGACACACGTTTAAGCGCCCGCTCTACCCTACTGATATTTTCAGATTTTTGTTAAACTGGTACTTTACAAGCCTGTTTGTTACTCGCTGATTTTTTTAAAACTCTCTGTGGAGTCGGGTGAGATTTTTGCAGGACGTACTACGTGAATCAGGCACGTCGCATTGCGGCCGGAAACCTCGGGTCAACCGGTCGACGTAACACAATAGCACCCATAGTTAATAGTTTTATCAGAGAGGATGTGTCAAATGAAAAGGGGGATGCAAGTTTGAGCACTGGCACCCACCTGAACGCCGAGATGTGGTGCTCAATCATGCACGCTAGGGGACGTTGTTTTTGAAAGCCCCACTGTTCGACTGGTACGGGTCTTGACAGAGTGAAAGGATTTGGTAGATTTAAGTCGGTGGCGGAACAATGTGATCTGCAGGTTGTGCCGTCTTGAAGCCTGCTTTCTTTTCGAGATGATAACCCCTTTGGTTCTCCTGCAGCTGTGGAGAATGGGGCTCCTGTGCCCGTAGGCTGTGGCCAGTCCGGATCTCCTGTGGGCCTGGCCAACGTCTCTAAGGCTGCCCCCCGGAACCTGGGGCCCAGTGACAAAGAGGAGGTGGGCAGCAGCCAGAAGAAGGCACGGCGGCAGTGGGAGTCCTGGAGCACGGAGGACAAAAACTCCTTCTTCGAAGGGCTTTATGAGGTAATGGCGCAGTTACCCTGGTTTGGCGAAGCCGTTCGCGCTGCCTGGCTTCCCTGTCGTGACACGGTCAGCTTTCTGAGATGCAGGCTTTCCTTTGCCCACAGCACGGGAAGGATTTCGAAGCCATTCAGAACAACATTGCACTAAAGTACAAGAAGAAGGGAAAGCCAGCGAGCATGGTGAAGAACAAGGAGCAGGTGCGGCACTTCTATTACCGCACGTGGCACAAGATCTCCAAGTACATCGACTTCAGCAATGGTGAGTGCCGCCCCCAGGCCGCCCTGTGCCCTCTCTCTCCCTTTCTCACCACACGGCCCGACGGCCCCTGTCCTGCTCTTGGTCTCTTAAGAAATCTCTGGAAATTATTTTCATGTACGGTTTTCAAGGGTATAAAATCTGGTTTTAGTGCTTAGTAGAAATGGGTGAGTTTTTCCAGGAAAATCACTGTTAATGATATATTTTTGCAGTTAAGTTGACTAGTGGCGCCGGTCGCCGTGCCCATGTCGGGCCGCTTGGCAGTGTCTCCTGCATGTTGATGGGCCTTCTCTCCGCAGTCTACTCCCGGGTGATGAAGAAGTCATCCCGGGAGCTCTACGGCCTCATCTGCTACGCGGAGCTCAGGAAGAAGGTCGGCGGACGTAAGTGGGTCTGGTGGCCGCTCTGTGGGATCTGGGGATGGGTGGGGGGGGGCAGTGAACCCCAAAGAAGCTCTAGGCAGGTGTTTGCCTTGTGTATGGCGCTGTTTAGATACTTCAGAGGAGGGGGGTTTTAGAGATTATGATAACAGTATGTTTACGCTGGCTAGAGGGGTCTCGTATTTATCGATTGACTTTTTTCTCTCTCTCCCTCCCAGTGATGGACGATAAGAACGTCGCCAAACTGAACGAGCTCATCCAGCAGGGGTAAGACCTCGCGGGTGTGGGGGGTGGGACTGGGCTCGCCAAAATGCCGCCGCGGCACCCTGACGGCCCCCTGCACTGTCTCCTCAGAGCCACCACGGTGCGCTCCAAAGGTCGCAACCTGCGCATCAAGGCGCCCATGTGCCGCGCCCTGAAGAAGCTCTGCGATCCCGATGGTAGGTAGCGGGGGGGGGGGCATCCGGCTCATTACGTCACGGTGCTCACTTGCTTTATTTAGGAGTATCACACCGGCAAGTGGGTGGGGCAGTGGCTCTGTGGGTAGCCTCATTCCTCCTGTCCCCTGCCCTGCATTAAATTGCCATGCCCAGAACGTCCCCCAAGCCCGGGCAGAGTTATGCCAGCGTACATCTGATTGGCTGAGCATATCATCATTCCCTCAGTTAGCGAATCGCATTCGAGCTTTGTGTCTTTTCTACGGGGGCTTTGTGTGAGTGAGGCATGGTGAGAAGGAGCATTGTGGGAAAAGCGAAGGCGTTGTTCTTTTGACGTGACGCCGACACGGAAGGTGTGGGAGGGTGGGATTATAAGTGTAGAGCAGTCTCTATGGAAACGAGCACGCACCCAGGGTGGTGGGTAGCCGTGCGCGTGGCGCCTTGGCCCCGTCGCTCACCCTGCATTTCTCGTGTCCCCACCCGTCAGGCGTGAGTGACGAGGAGGACCAGAAGCCAGTGCGGCTCCCCCTGAAGGTCCCTGTGGAGCTGCAACCAAGGAGCAACCACTCCTGGGCACGAGTGCAGAGCCTGGCACATAACCCCAGACTGAGGTAACGGCCACCATGGTACCGCTGCAAACGGGCACACGCGACGCGGCCTCGCACACGCGACGCGGCCTCGCACAGTAAAAACAAACCCTGAAATGAAATGATGCTGTATTTGCCATTTGCACAAGTGCATTTACATGCACATACAAATATACATTATACATGCACGCACACTTAATATAGTACATTTTCTGATGTATTTCTGATGTATTCTGCCGAGGCCAGGCTCGAACCCATGACCTCCCCATCCCGCGCACAGAGGCTCAGCCTGCTAAGTCACACTCACTTCCTCCCAAAACTTTACAACCGGCAGTAATTGTGCCTCGATTAAACCTCATAGGCTATGATAATTGCCACTGCACCAAAGATGGTATATGACATAAAAGCCCCCACAACACTGCACTACACATTTGGTATAAACATGGTTCCCCCCCCCCCCCCCACAACTGTACTACATGCTACAAAAACCCCACACTGCCCTATATGCTGCCTATATGCCCTATATGGTATGAGTGTTGTTCACACGTGTGATGTTCTTCAGCAGGACACCATATCCTGTATGAGGTTTAACACAGACCAGTCGCAGGTATTCATTTTAGGTGATTAGTTGCTCCTCAAACCAGCACTCCCAGTCCTTTAATCCTCCACTTTTACATGACTGTTGGGCGTATATCTGTGCGTGTGATGGAGCAGAAAGGAGATTTGGGCAGGATCACGGTGCATATCGTCTGTCTCATCGTCTGCCACTGGCCCCAGTCTAACCCCGTCAGTGCTGTGTATCCTTGTCAGTTGCTTTGTCGTTGTTGGAGTTGGGGGGCAGGAGGGGGGGATGATTCTGCAGTAGTTCACCCCAGTGTGTATGACCCCCCATCACCCCTTCCTTCCTTGCAGGATGGTGGTGGAGCTCCACAGGAAGGTATCCAGCCTCATCGAGTTCCTCAAGCAGAAGTGGGCCGTGCAGGACCAGCGCCTCGTATCTTTCACGCGCTCGCCATTTTGTTTTGGGTCAAATGTCAGGCACTCTGCTCAGGCTACATAAGATTATTTTTAAAACTTTAGTTCTCATTCGGTTTAAGACTATTTGGTGTACGAATGAGTTTCGCATGGTGAGCCTTTTCTGCCGTTGCTCTGTGTCGCCCCCTTGCTGTCTGCTCAGAGGTCTGCAGAACAACTCGGGGCTATTTTGGCTTTGTCTGAACTGGAAGTCTATTTTCACTTCGTAAACCTGCAGAAAGACTCGGTCATAGGAGGGTTGTGCTCAGCTGTTTTGCGGTTCTTTTGACGCCTTGACCAAGACACCCAGTGGAAGAGCCTAGTGGAGAGGGAGGCGTTGGAGGGGCAGCAGCGCTCCGCGTGGGGCATGGAGGAGGAGGAGCTCTTCCTGTACCCGGCGGAGAGCAGCACGCTGACGGCGCTGCCCGGCGTTGCCCGCGTTGTGCACTCCAAAGCCTTCTGCACTGTGCACTGGCTGGAAAGTGGCAAGTGCCGCACCAGTGCCAAGGACTTGCCTGCCGCCCAGATCCTGGGCATCCAGGCGGCCCCCAGGGGCCACGGGCGGCAGGGCCGTGTCGGAGGAGGGGAGGCGCGGCGAGCGGACGGTGGGGGTGCGGCCGAAGGGACCGACGGGCTGCCTGTCGACGGGTCGGATGAAAAGAGCTCTTCGAACCCCTCGCAGTGTGTCAGCTCCCTGCCCCAGTCCTCTCTCGTCCCCGGACAGAAGGAGAGGAGTGCCCCGCCAGTGGTGGAGGGGAACTCCCCCCTGAGCGGCCCGGGGGAGAGGCTGGCGTTCAGGGCCGTGGGGGGTGAGGATCCAGACAGGCAGGGTCCTGGCCCATCGCCGAAGGAGGGCACCCCCATGGAAGGCAGCTCATCACCCGGGAAGGAGCCGCCCAGCGCGCTCAGGGATCCCTGTGGGGAGGAGAGGACAGCAGGGGGCGCTCTGTCCCCCGAGAGGCAGGGGGCCGGTGCTGAGGCCCCGCCTCCGGTGCCGCCAGGGGACGTTTGCACTAAAGACGGCCCGACGTCGGATGAGGGCGCCCCCGAGTTGGGGCGCAGAGGCGGCGGTGGCAGGGGGGCCGGGAAGGAGGAAGAGGTGGCGGGGGCGGCTGCGCCGTGCAGCCGCCCCCCCGAGCAGATCCGTGAGGAGGGCTGGAATGCCCACAGCACAGAGAAAGTGACACTAGCTGAGCTCTACCTCATGCTGGGCAAACCGGGCAAACTGCAGCTGGAGTATGATTGGCTGCCCGTGTCCCGCCAGGATGGCAGGCCGCAGCCCCAGCCCCTGCCCCCCCCCAGCATGCACCGTGTGCTACGCTGCCTGCTGCGACTCGTCACCACCGAGGTGAACCCCAAGCCGGTGAGTGCCGTCTTTCACCAGACCTGCTGGTGCGCCGTCTGCCGCTGTACCCATGTTAGCTGCTAGTCTGACTTGTGTCCATCCCCCTCCCAAGGCGCCCGAGCTGTGCTCCACCGCCACCTCCCCAGTGAAGCCCACCCTGGAGGAGCAGGCTTTCACCCCCCCAGGGAAGACTCTGGCACTGGGGGTCCGCAGCCCGAGCTGTGTCCGGCAGCAGGCTTCTATCCGGGCGGGTAAGCTTGATGATCGTCTGTCGTGGTCACTGGGGCCTGCGGTCAGGTCCCTAAATCCTAACGAGTTATATCCAAATGAAGTTAATTAGGTGTGTGTCCTGGGTATCACATTCTTGTTATATTTTTTTGGCGAGATGCAAGGTCCCTCGACACATACAGCATTTTCTTTGTCGCCCCTCCCTCCCCAGGCCCACGGAACCTTCCACGCCCCCTGCTGGTGGCAGGCGGCTCTGTCGACGCAGACAGCAGCCTCTTCGCCATCCCCACCACGCTGCCCCCCAACAGTCGCCACGGCAAGATGTTCTCCCCCAACAAGGAGGCGGAGAGGGCACTGAGGCAGCAACTGGACTCCATCAGTGTGAGCGTCCGGCGCGGCGTCCGTCCATCTTCCCAAAGCGCTCGTCCGGTATCGGCTCATGGGGGCAGCCTGGAGTGGTGTCTGTTTGTGACGGGGCACTGGCACACACACGCACAGTGAACGATCTTCAAGGCCCTAATCCGCATGTTTTAGACGGCGGGAAGTACTCTGCGTCACATGAGGAGAACATGTAAACTGCTCTCACACAGTACCAGGAGTGACCGAGCCCTAACCTACAGCCCTATAGGTGTCAGACAGCAGTGCTTAATTTAACTTAATAAACACACAAACCATGGCAGAATATTAGGCTGCATTCACACTGCAGTGCTTAATGCTCAATTCTGATTTCCTGCTCAGATCGGATTTTTTGTTTGCCTGTTTACATTACTCTTTTTTTTAATGTATCAGATTTCAATGTGAACGGTTCACTATACTGAACCTGCCCGCGTGCGCACAAAACAACAAAGACACAATGACGCGCACACGCAATTACAAAGACGTCACTTTATTGATTCGAAAACTGCCCGGTTACGATATGAACCTTCCAGTTTTGTCTGAACAGATTTATCTCCCCAAATACTTAAATCCAGCCCCTCACTGTCCCTCCACTGGCCAGCTTCTGTGCTCTCCTCCATGTTTGGCACTCTGACGGAGACATATGGTGACTTCCGCCTGCGCAGAATTGTGACGAACATCAATCGAGAGTGACGTAAAACGCGCATGAATTTCTCTGTTCAGACTGAGGTCGCATTGCAAAAAAATCGGACCTATATTCGATTTATGACCACATACTGAAGTGGACCAGATTGGAATTGGAAAAAATCGGATTCCATGTGACTTGTGCTGTTCACGTTGTCATGAAAAAATGCGATCTCAGTCACACATGAGCAAAACATTGGATTTGGGCCACATTTGTCCTGCAATGTGAACGTAGCCTTAGATGTCCATAACTGTGCTGCGTGTGTCCTTTTTATACGCTTTAAACATCGTTTTCGGTGAAGCTTTCTTGAGTCTAATAACACGCACTTATCACAGACCTTGTAATCGTCTCCATTCCCCGCTGTCCCCCCTCTCTCATCTGATTGGCTGCCCTCCCTCTTCTCTCCCCAGAAGCAGTCTGACCTCTTTCTCCCCAAACCGCGCAAGATCAGGAGTCGGCACAAGTCACTGGTGGTGCAGGTGAGAGCTGTGCAGCTAGGGGGCGCTGGCGTAGGGAGCAGTAAGGAGCACAGGTTCAGAGTCGCTTCTTAAATTTGGGATGGGGTGGTGAGATGGTGAGGGATCTGGGTGTTGAGTGTGGACTGGCCAGCAGAGTGGCGCTATGTCGCTAAATGTCTGCTCCCCCCTGTAGAGGACGCTGCTCCCTCGGACGACAGGGGATACCCCGCAACATGTCTGCTCCTTCTCCATCTTCTCCAACTCGTCTGTGGCAGGTAGCCCCCCCCCCGTCCCGTGTGGATGCTTTATGTGACTGTGGTACAGATGTTTGAGGGTATCTATTTTGGGAGATTGATGGGGAACAGCATGCTGCCCCCCATCACTGTAAATACTATATCTGACCACAGTAAATGAGTTTCTGTAAAGTGCAGCTTCTCCCAACCCCTCCTGAGAGCGAAAGCTCAGCCGGTTAGACACGTTCTGGCCGTTTAAACACTTAGTCTGTAGAGTGCAGGTTATTTATGCATCTAACTTGCAGTTCATTATCTGCTTCCGAAGTGTTTAATTATTTTGTCAACGCTGGTGATGTTTCATTTAGCGCAAATTCCCTGTGGTACAATTTTGTTCTATAGATGAAGACGTTTATGTTTAGCTAAGAAAAGGCCCAGCTGAATGGCTGGCAGCAGTGAGGGCGGATAAGCCAATGAAATGTGTGTGACGCGATGAAAAGGCGTCTGGCAGACTGAGGTGACGCGTCATCCTCTGTCCGCAGGAACCGGTTCTTTCCGGCCGATCCAGCCGTCGCTGCGTCCGCCCACTGCGTCCGCCCCGCTCTCCAGTAAGGAACGGCACGATCAAACATGCCTGTGTTTCCTTCCTGTCATTCATTCATGCCTGCAGTGCACACACATGTGTATTCATCCATTCATTCATTCGTTCCTTCATATGGCACCAAATATTTTCTTGATTTTTTTTTTTTTTTTTTGGTAAATGCTTGGGTGGGGGGACTTTGTAGTCAGCAAAACCTGAGGCAGTTCCTTAAGTTCCAGCAGGAGATTACCTGACACGTCTTCCCAGATCTTCTTCTGCTATTCCCAGAAATGCTGGGTGTTTGTGGGTCGAGTGGCTTTGCTTTGGTTCCTCTGTCTAATTTATCACACGCATATAGTTTGGGATTCAGGTCTGGAGTCCCAGAAGGCCAAGCCATGTGTAGTCCTTCGTTTTTCTTCTCCGCCATATTTTTTGTTTGGCAATCTGATGTGTTTTGGGTCATCGTCTTTTTCTGAAGAATGAAGGACTGGTGGCATGATGTTCATGCTGGCCCGGAACTCATGAAGGTCACTGACTGAACAGCAAAGCAACCCCAGACCGTGACTCTGCTTCATCCATGCAGGACACCTGTGAACCACACATGCAGAACTCATACATGATTTAACCCATATTTTATGACCCACCTGACATACAGTATGCAATTCCTGCATAGGGTACTATGAGTTTCAGGCATTTGCATGGTCATAGCAGAGTGTCAGTAAGCGTTGTGATTAGGAAATTCCATTTATTGAGGATGTGAGAGGTTAGTCAGGGTTGGGAAGGCAAGGGCGGTCATGTTACTCTTGGAGTGTAACGGTATGTAACACTGAGTGCTGTGATCATACCCAGAAGGTAACAGGACATTGTATTTTATATAACTGTTCCTGGAAAGAAATGCCTCGTTCTAGGAACATGTCTAGTTCTCCGCCCTGGTGGGGGGTGGGGGGGGGTTGGGAAGTGCGGGGCGTGCAGAGAGTAGCCGAAGGCCCCCGCACACACAGCCAGGGAGGGGGTTCTGTTCCTGTTAGTGCCGTGAGCCTGGCACCAGTGTATAAATAAACCAAACACTCCCACGCACCCGGAGACGTGGATGCTGATCACTCCAAACGGCACCTTGTTTTGATTGAATCCCACTCGCCAATTTCTGTGTAGAATTCAGATTCATCAGATAAGCCACGTTACTGGGTCTCTGATTTCTCTTGCTCCACTACCCATCCCCCCCCCCTCCACCACCACCACGTCACAATTTTTACGGCTTTGATTTTCGGGTATGGACCCTATCCGCAGGGCGGAGGTCATGCAATTACAGAGGATTTGGGGGGTTGGTGGCAGGATCGGCACTCCAGCCACTGGGAAATAACTCGCACCATTCCATTTGGACTAGTGTGGTGCTGAGGTCGTTTGTCATGTGGTGGGTGCAGCAATGCACCGTAATCAGCGCATGCTCCTTACCTCACCCGCATCTACCTATACACGCTTTACACTTAAAGCACAGCCAGATGGGCTAGGCCAGGCCCCGCCCAATTCTTTGCAGGCCCTGCCCACCCCTGCAGGCCCCTCCCACTCACGCCCCTCCGCTCCCCTCGTCCTCAGGTACGATCGATCAGGCAGCCATGTCGGCTGGAATCATCCCCTGCAGCCCCGCCCACGTGCCTGCAGCTCCAGCCCCGGAGAGCCTCCTGCTGTCCCCCAGTCCAGTGGCCACCGAGCCGGAGGGGGGTCTGGCTCACCAGCCCCCCCCAGACATGGTATCTGAAGAGGTGAGTACAGTAGGGCAGGGTGAGGCCGTCCCAGGGAGTCACTGGCGTGTCGGACTGGTTCCACATGCGTGCTTCTACGATGAGGCTGCATTAAGGATCGCTGAGGTTTCACTTTGGTGAACTGGGACATTTACACTGCCGTGACTGTCGACGACCTTTTATGGGCATTGATATTTCGTGTTGGATTTCCAGTGTCCTCTGACAGGTTTTTCAAAGAAAAACACCTTGGTATTGCTCTGAACATCCTCACAAGATATGAAGCCAGTTAAACGTAGTTTAACCTTTTGGGCTTCAGTGCAAGTTAAACTTATCTGCTCACATCTGTATCTTCCCTGGGCATTGCAGTGTTTTTAGAGCTGCCTTGTAGAATATCAGATCCTGTATTATAAAGTGTTATTGAAGCAGCATGCGCCGCCAGACTGAGGGAGTAGAGGTGATGACCAGGGCTAGGTGTGTCCCACGGGCAGATGATACAGCACTGAGGGGCGCTGATAAACCACCACGGACTCGCTTTAGCAGAACATTCTTCTAACAAACTGCAATGATAGAAGATTATCACGGTCCTTGCGCTAGGATGACGTGCAAATTTGTGAAGGGTGCCATATTTTAGAAGCGGAGTGTGGCTCCTAATGCCACAGATAAATGTCTGCTCTCGTGTATGCGAGTGCATGTGTGTGTCATCAAGATGAGTTTTGCATAAATCAAAGAATTCCTGTACCTCAGTTCATGAACGTAACTGTACAAGGTGTTTCTACAGTAGGCCAATTAAAATCAAGCACTCAGCCTGTTACAGGATTTCCTGTCAATCTGCTAGATTTTGCTCAGACATGGCCAAGATTGTCGCCTTGGACTGTTCAGAGGAGGTCTGTTATTGGTGTTCAGGTGGAAGGAACATTCCAGATCCTTATTGACCCCTTATACCAATGCAGCAGGGACCCTTGTAAATGCATATTTATTCAGGTTCAAGAAGAGAGGAAAAAATCAAGCATATTTCAGTTGCATAAAATAAAGGATGGACTTCCAAAGTTTAACAGTTCTAAAGCATAAGTATTTAGTCTGACGTGCTACGAAGTCTTCCAATAATTAAAATCTAATCTTCTCCCTTTGCTGCCCTTGGTCCAGGATATTTATTAAGCACTTAATATGATCTTTTGGTTGGCTGCCGTTTCAGCTTCCCTGCCCCTCGTATGCCGCGCACCCGTATATAGTGTCCTTGTTACTTTGTACCCCCACTTAATTTCTGCTGGGACTCCCTTTTGCATCCAGAACTGCATTAAGGGTAGATGAGCTGTGTGTTGAGCGAACACTGTTATTTTTGCACTTCCTGTTAGCTTTAATTTTTTCCCCCCTAAAATGGCTTGAAGCGCCACATTTCACATCACTTCAATCTGTGATTCTCAACCCGGGTCCTCAGTCCATGTTTTTGCTCCCTCCCAGTTCCCTGCCAGACAGTTGGCATTTTTGCTCCCTCTTGGAGCTGGGATGGAGCAAAAATGTGGACCGTCTGGGCCCAAGGATTGGGTTGAGAAACACTGACTTATATTTGAGGCTTTCCAGAACCAGTTTCTGATTGGCTGATTGTTTTTCTGCACGTCACCCTTCCTCAGGTGACACTACAGAGCAGCCCACCACTGCCCCCTGCAGACACAGACTCGCTACTGTCCCCCCCGAGCGTGGCATCCCTGCTAGACCTGTCGCTGCCGGGTCCCCCAGAGGAGGTGATGTCCCAGGGTGAGCCGGCCACGCAGATCAGTGACTCCATCATAGAGCTGGCCATCAACTCACACTACGGTGAGGCCTCTGTCCGAAGTGGGGGGGGGGAGGGATTGCCATGCACAGTGATCTCATGCATTCTCGTGCCCCTAGGTGATGGACCTTCACTGTCCCCAGCTAAGCTGAACGGCACTGACGTCTCAAAGAGCCTCCCATCCCCGACGGGCAGCCCACACCGCAGCTGGATCGCGTCGCCCACGCACGACCCGCAGTGGTACCCCAGCGACTCCAGTGACTCCTCACTGGGCTGCCTGCTCTGTGAGTCACCCCACACCACCCTCCTCACTCCTCAGAATTACTCTGCTAATTTTGGAACGGCATTAGAGCCTCGGATATGTAATCCCTTAGTTAACCTGGTTAATGCCCCCCCCCCCACAGCGAGCCTGATCTCCCCAGAGAAGGGCCGCAAGATGTCCCTGCCGGTGCCCAGCCTGCTGGACAGCAGCTCCCACGACTCCTTCCATGCCCGTGGCCTTGTTGACGTCGCAGAGGTGCGTGCCCCCCACCCCCCCAATCTACCAACTGGTCACATGGTTTCAGCTTCTCACACTGCTACACTACACTCTTCCCCCTCATCCACATTTAAAGCCGAATTCGTCTGAGGAATATCTGTGTGAAGTACTGTCCTCTGGGAATAGTGAAGTATTTCCAAAGTTGCCTAATTTTACCAAGGAATAGAAGTGAAAATATGTTTATAGGGCTCTGAACCCACAGAGTTTGCTGTACCGAGCTGGACTGTGGTGTCCATTGCTGGGTGATGACTGGCGAGCATGTGACCTTGTTCACAAGGTTGTTCCTCCCCCCTGGTGACTCTAACCTTCTGCCCCCCCCAGTGACTCTGACCTTAGGGTGCTTTTCTACCGCACCAAGTACAGTACTTGTGGTACTTTCCCTTTTCCATTGCCTTCTGGTCGAGTTCCAGTACCAAAAGTGCCAAACCAGCTGGAGTACTTCGGTACTTTGGGGTGGGACTTGAAAGACTTTTTTTGTCGATTGGTTATGCAAATGCCTGCCTCTGAAACACAATACAAACGCCACCTTGAAAATGGAAAAAACAACAATGAATGAAGTTTAAAAAATATATATGCGATCTGGTCAGAACAGATACAACAAAAAGATCAGAATTGCATGACAAGAAATTTTAAAAGTATTTTGTTTAATATACTAGTGTGTTGTCCTGGCAATTTGATTTTGTTGTAATAAATATTGGGGTATTTATAAAGCAAAAAGGAGTTCATAAATTTCTCACAAACCCACCTGGGAGTGATTTGAACAGCGGGGATGAAAATTATTGATTGTCTCAGAGAACGCATGCGATGCTCATGCAAAAACAGCGGAGGTAAACTTTAAATTGATTTTTAAATATATATTAAGCTATAAAAGGAATAATAATTAAAATTGCAAAGGTAGCTAAAGTGTCTTTTTACATTACAGAGTAAAAATGTTTTAGCAAAACTTGAACTCCTTGCGCTATATTGTCTGTACAGAACTGAAAGTAAGAAAAAGCCTGATCTTAATCTTACTAGGGATGTAAGAATTGCATGTGCATAACATGCGATGTTGGTATTAATATCGTCCAGCCCTATAATACACTACAGCCATTTTGTGCAAAGTACCCCGCCTCCCGTTGTGACATCATTCCATGCCAGTGCCAGTTCTTACGCCAGTGGAAAACCAATATCTTGAAGTACCGTACTTTTGGTACTTTCTCAAAGTACCAAAAGTATAGTACCTGATGCTTTGGAAAAGCATCCTTTGTGACTCTGACTTCAGTGACTCTTCTGCCCTCCTGGCTAACTGTCCTCGGTGACAGTTCTGACCTTGGAAACTCTTCTGTCCTGCAGGTGGACTCTCAGCTTGCCTGCATGATGAGTGAGAACAGCGTGGACTACATCACCCGCTTCAACGACTTGGCGCAGGAGCTGTCCCTCCCCCCCCATGGTCATGGCAGCACGGGCTAGGGGGGGGGAGGGCGCATATGAGGTCTGGATTGATGTCTGGAGATCAGTTTTTTTTCTTTTAACTACAAAGCAGCTCTATGGAGACGAATGTGCAATAGAAGGTGACGAGGACATTGGTGCGGTTGGTATCAGGGACAGCCCCACAGCATCCCCCATGCCAATCTGTGTGGGGTATGGTGCCCCCCAAAAGCTCTGCCGTTCCTCGCTGCGGCTTCCCTAATATTAAACACTTCGGTAAAATTTATACGCTAGAACTGAACGTTGTTTACAAAATGTGGCTTTTACGCAAAAGGCTGCCCCCCCCCCTTTCATTCGCAGTACCTCTATTTGCATACAACCTTTTATTCCACTGGGCGGGTGTCTGAGTAGGATGCCAGGCTCATGTGACAGTTTTACGAGATTTTAATTTTTAAATGTTTTTTTTTTTTCCCTCTCTTCCACTGTCGTCCAATGAGATTAGTGTAAAATTGATGCAGTCACCTGCACCGGTGCCCTGACATTCCCAGGTATGTACAGTGCAAGCAGCTGTGAAAGGTTGTAAACATCTCTCACTTGTGGTGTAAATTCAAATAGGAAAAACTGACATGAGATTTTGAGAAAGATTGAGATATTTACTTCTATGCTAGGACACTTTCTGTAGATTTCAGGATTTTTTTTTTTTTGGTTTTTCTTAATTTCTTTTATGGGTTTTCACTTCCTGTGCAAAGCTGAGCCTGATCCCCAGATTCTTTCCAAGTTAACTTATGCACTGTTCTGTGGGATTTATTACCTATGTGTCAGTTCACGAGGGGAGGTGGCTAACGGGGATAGCTCTGACAACTATTAGTGTTAACTTATTGACGCAAATAAGCATGACCACCAAAATCTGGGGGCTCACCTAAGACTATTGGCTGTTGGAGTCAGTCGAGTAAAATCATAGGCTTGAGACATACCGCAGTAAGGACACAATTCTTCCATTTATGAAGTAAAGGTCCATTTTTTTATAGCAGGGCGCTGGCTGCTATCATCCTGTTGGATGTCCTCTGTCAGTCCAGCAGTCTGACGGTGGTGTGGAAGCTGGCCTGAGGCCAGTGAAGTCCTGGTGTTTTATTTTATTTTTTTAAATGCCTTTGTGTGTAGTCTTTTAGAGTTGATGGCACTAACGCGAAAGCATTGGCCATGTTTTAGACTCTGATGCGTTTTGTAACTTGTAAATAGTTTTGTCCATGTGGATAGATGCATTAAAAATATATATATATAAATAAAAAAAAAATATATATATATATATAATCTGCCTCTTAAAAAATTTTGTGGAAATTTTAATAAGCCATATAAGAAGATGTTACAGCTGGTGTGAATTTAAATTGTAATTGTAAGCTCTTCTGTTTTTTGTTTCTTTTTATATTTAATAAGAGGATTTTCCTTTATTTGGACTGAGATATCCCTGAGATGATAAAGGGGGGAGATGATGATGATGATGATGATGATGAGATGTGCTGCGTGGGCCTCTCATACTGGCTTTATGTTCTGGTTTGCTCTGTTTGTCACACGTGAACCAAGGCTTGATGTGGAGTGTGCCTGACCAGTAGGGTTTTATCGTGGTGCTGTTTTTTTTTTCTTTTGCTCTTTCTGACTCACCCAACCCACCAACCACCAGCATACTGACTCACACCGACTGTGGGACTAACATACATAAGATGATGCATGTCCGCTGTCCCGATGCCCTCGTTCAGAAATCACAGGATTGGTTCTATGTGTTGTCTGGCAGGGAAATGGCCCCTCCTCATACAGGTTGTAGTAGACTAGAAAATCCACATAAGAAGACAAAGATGGTATTTCCAGCCTGATGTTTTAGTTCTGGTTATTCTAAGCTAATACTCTTCAATCCCTCTATTATGAAGTACATTTTATAGAGAGCATTCAATACGGAATATTAAAACAGGCCACAATGATTCAGTGTGAAGTTTTTTAGCGAACTATGAAATGTATTAAACTGAGCTTTTCTTGACTGTATATTTGTGAGAATATTTGTTAGTAAGGTTGATATGACATCCTATTTCCATCATGAGTGGACACAAAAAAAAATCCCAGCAGAAGTGTTGTGTTTGTGTAGGGAAATGACGCTCGCTTTAAGCCTCCATGGTTTTGCCATGCAACAGTGCTTGTGATGCTGCAAGGCGCTCAGATCTGCTCAGCAAATTCAACCAATTTTAACAACTTAGGAACCAAGTGTAAATTGAGAATTTGAGCCTTTGGTGATAGCCCGTGTATATATTTACATGTAGACAAACTTGCATGTTCGATAGGTTTTCAATTGCATCGAGTATGACGCTTTCAACCACAGATGTCATTAAGATGGGAATTTAACTACTGTGCTATTTGATTTTTAGTATCCCCCCCCCCCGGTTAACTACATGCTGGCTTTACTTTCTAGTCTAACCCCCCGCCCCCCATTTCAGTATGAGGCTTACACGTAGGCAAGAACATGGATTATGTTTGAATACAAGGTGTTTGTATTTGCATAACAATTCCAAATCTGACTTTACCTTTTGTAACATATTGTAAATTATTTGGACTATTTATTGTTAACAATTGAAAAAAAAATGTTTTGGTTATTTAATATTCAGGCTGAACTGTTAAAGCTGCAGTTTTAAGAGTTGCAAGTTTGTAAAAGGTGTTTTTACTCTTGTGGTTATAAATACAGTTTTAAAAAATTTCTGGTCTGTCATTGTGAAGTATGTTTTTGGTTCACTTTTAGTCTTACCATGAGTTTCTCACTTTATTTTACGCAGATATTTTCCTGAAGATATTCTTTGTATGTGAATGTGAATACCTAAGATGGCTTTTACACATTGTGTGATTGTTTCCAATTTGAGATATAGAACCCTGCTTGTGGTGCCTGTTGATGACTGATCAGCGCTAGGTATAATGGGAAAGGAGCAAAAGAACAGGGATTTTCTGGGCCTATTCAGACAGATGGTCAACAGGATGCTTTGCCCTTAATTGATTGATCAGCAGCTGATGGTTTAACGCAATTGCAGGTTTTTCTGACAGATGGCAGGTAGGGTTTGTAATGCTGCCGTTAAAGATATCGCTGTATTTACACACCAATCCTTAGAAACTTAAAATGTGAATATATTTCCTTGCCATTGATTTTGTTTCAACAGACATAATGTGAAAGTGTAGCTCCTGCGTTATATTAGTTTCATCGAATGAATTTTAATTGTGTTTAAGGGAAATCCGTTAAATGTAGAAATAGATCGTACTGTGACGTCACAAAAACATAAACCTTGTTCAGTGCTGGGTTATTACGGTTTCCGATATATTAGAACTGTGAAATGTCCTATGTGATATTTCATAGAAACTAACAGTATTAGCGTTACATTGAAATTAATAGCTTCAAATGTATATTTGGCCACTTTCATATACTTCTTCAAGTTCTTCATAATTAAAGCCTGAAATATAAACATGAGACCAGTGATGCATGTGATTTAAACTTCATTTTTCATGTCCAAAGCGCGTGTCTGTATTGTCCGTATATTACGGTAGCTCCCATCGCAGACCTCTGATTGGTGACCCCGACACGACCAGCGATACACTTCCGGTTTCTCTTCGACGTGATGTTAAGGTCCCCCAGGTAAGGGCTGGATGCATAGACGTTCCGTTGTGTTTATGCACTAAAGGAAAATGCCTGTTTAATAGTTAGTAGATTCCTGTTATGTTATGTAAGGATAGTATTAAATAGACTAGCTACATTAGTTTCTAACGACCTAAAATCGCTGCTTTTTGGGTTCATCATTGGCGAACTGTTTGAGTCATTTTGGTTCATTCGTTCAGTTCACGCCAAAGCTTTATTATGTGCACTAACTAGCTTCGGATTTAGTTGAATTAGCTAAATTGCATTTGATTTCGTATTAATATGCCGTTTTTTAGCCACACACACGCTGCACTTTTTAACCAAGAGCCATTTTTAAACTGGCAATTCTGCAATTAAATGGAAATTCCTGCTGAAACCAATAGACCGTACTAAATGGCCTGTATCACTCTCTAGTATGTCTAGTAAAACTGGACTGGTACCCAGTGTGGTATAGGTATGGATGTGAGAGCTGCTGATCCCTATGCGGAGGGCGGGGCGTATTTTCACATTCGAAGTCTCTTACGGAAGACCGTAAATTGGGATGCACCGTGTATTTTATGTTTGTTTATTTATATCATGAATTATATCATACAGCATACAATGTACGGTGTTGAAGAAGTTGATTCCTCCAAGTGTGTGGCTACATTTTTGTTTATTTTGACTCGAGTCAATACACGCTACCAGTAATGAGGCGTCATTCAACGTTTCTCACAAGCCTTGCTACATGCTTAATGTAAATCAATTGTTTTCTCGGTGACATGCGCCCCTCGGTGTTGAGGGATTGAAGGGAAGCTCCCATCTTGTAATACACAGCATTTACTCTCTATATCAGGGGTCATCAACCTTTTTGAAACTGAGTTACTTCACGGGTACTGAGCCATACGAAGGGCTACCAGTTTGAAACGCCCTCCTAAACTTATCTAAACTTCATGTATAATAAACATGTTTTCAGAAATATTTATGGCAGATTTTAAACTACGTAGTTTCCTCATCATAGCACTTAAATCTTCATACAGCCGATCTTGCAAATTTCATATTTAAGTAATTTTAAAAATTATTACTGAAGCTTTTAACGATCCAAACCAATTTCATTTTCAAAGTGACAAAATCATGCACCTATTTTAGTTATCGTGAATCAATTTCGCATCAAATTTGACACAAATCCAGTCTGTCACATGGTATGACAATAATGGCATTGATTCAAACACGTATTGTTTGTTTGTCCAAATTTAGCACTTGGTCATCCAGGCTTTCTCAATATCCCTGTAGGTTTAAATGTCGTATACTTTATAAGCATTTTAGCCTCTCCTGATCTGTGTTCCTTCCACATGCGTTCCAAAAATATTGTACACCCTGATGTGCTGCAACCTGGCTATATTGAGTGTGGTGCACAACTCAGCTGAACACAGCCAGCGGTTATACAGTTACATATGTATTGCACTTAATTCTTGTATAAAAAGGAAGCGATATCATTTCAACCATGCCATCAAGATGTTGTTTTTTTTAACTATATTAAAGTTCCCTGTTGTAGGCTAATCTGAATTTGACAAATTTCCATTTAATTCCCATATATTTCCGTTGCCATAAAAAGTTTCCCAGAATTTTGCAAACCTAAGGTATAAACTTATGGAAATAAACACATTGAGTGTTCATATGTGCTGACTCATGCACACCGCAGTGTTACCTGAGGGTCAAGAGGGTTGGTGGGGGGCATTATTGGAAAAAAAAATGCAGACATCAAGCCATTGTCGTACGTTTCTTTTTTATTGTTTAGTGATGACATGTTCCTTCTCTATCCACAGAGGTGAAGAAACAAACATTTAATAATTACATTAATTCATATAGGTTAGTTATTTTTCAGTGACAGTTATAACTACATTTTTTAGCAGTTACTAAATTAAGCCCTCAACAGTTTGCCCGTTGCTGTCAGCCTAGCTGCACTGCGCCCAGCCTAACTGTGGAATATTAGTCAGCGGGTTTGTTGTGGGAAGTATGTCTTGTATGCGACCCCTTCTCACATCCGAATCCCGTTAATGTATCTGGTGAAAACCCGGGATAGATGCATTTTAATCCCACTAGTTTTCCGTGACGGTAAAGTAACGGGCGTCGTTTACTTCCAGCGGATATCAACGTAGCGAGTAAAAGGGGGAGAATCCCCTCGCGCCATTTTCGAACGCAGCACTGTTACAGTTTCACATTCTTATGGGGCGGCGTCAGGAAGTTACCGCCAAAGTTACTACGCTGCAGGGGATGGATTAACGGGGAGGGCAAATCCCACAGGACACCATAAGGGTAAAACAGCGATTAATAAGTGGGTTTCAGTGTGTATGTCGCCTCCCATCTACTAAATGCCTGCTCTGTTTACCTACCTCATCTGTTTTTCCTTTTCCTTGGAGAAGACTTAAGTAAGCCCATTTTATTTAGAACTTTATAAACGATAGATGTTTTTCTGCTGTAGCAGTAGATTATGGGCATAGTGGTCAGCTACAGAGAAATGTTACCAGCCGAAAAACTACACTTACTTTACCCAATTTAATTTAACATTACGAAAAAGAAGGACTTCAGTCAAAACTACTTCATCCAGCTACAAAATGGCACCATGCCAAAAGAGCTACTGCAGCTACTTTTGGACAATAAACCCTGTTTGAAGTAACACTTTTATCTATGCAATGAAGTTTCATAAATATGAATTGTCTCGGCATCTTTGACTGTGAAAACCATAATCTCTCCAGGAGGAGTGTATCTAAATACTGGGGGATGGATAAGATGTTTGGAAGCATGGCCTCCGTGCTACTGGTTGGCCTAGGAGGGCTGGTGCTGTACCGACTACTGCAGAGGCTCCGGCAGAAGGCCTGCCTGCAGGACGCGGTGGTGGTCATCACTGGTGCCAGCTCTGGCTTGGGCAAAGGTGCCAACTCTCACCGTACTTAGCCTGAATGTTCCCCGAATTGGGTTGCCATGTATGTAAACCTGTTCCGTGCTTCCTCTGGACCAGAGTGTGCCCGGGTCTTCCACGCCGCCGGGGCCAAGCTGATCCTCTGCGGTCGGAATCGGAATCTTCTGCAGGAGCTCGTCGAGGAGCTGGGCGCCGTGGCGGACAGCAAGCATAAGGTGAAGTTAGACTCCTGCATTAACAAGTAACTGCAGTAACTAGTGTTTTTATGTCTCCCTGTAGTTTTGTCGTCTTTGCTTGGACCATTGTTTTCCTTTGGATGTGGTGGTAATAGATCACTTTCAGGTTTATGGCTCTGTGGGTTAAATCCCATGGTCAGTAGAGTAATTTCGCCATTTGGCTTTAGAGTTAAGGAACATGCTCTAGTTTTCTCCAGGGATGCAGGCTGACCCTGTCTTGTCCTCATCACTGCTACATAAATAAATGCATTGTACATATTCTATGTCTTCAATCTGACACGCCACAGACCTACACAGCCAGCATCGTGACCTTTGACCTGTCAAAAGTCGAGGAGGTTGCCCAGGCAGCAGAGGACATCCTGAAGTGTCACGGTTATGTGGACGTCCTCATCAACAATGCTGGCATCAGTTTCCGTGGGAACATCCTAAACACACACATCGATGTCCATAAGGAGGTCATGGAAATCAACTACTTTGGTCCCATAGCTCTGACCCAAGGTTTGCAAGAATTTTATATCTAGACAAGATTCACATGAACTTGCAGCATGTGAGAAGCTGTGAAAAATCTCTGTAAAAAATCTGTCATAGAAAGCCTCAGTCTGAAGCTTGTTTATAGTAAAAAAAAAATTGAGCAAGTGCCTTATAGAAGTATTGAATTCCCAGTAAAATGAAGTTATCATTTGTAATTCAGGCAATACACATTTTCCTCCCAATATTTTTATTGCAAACTCCTAGTTACTCACAGTAATTTTTCAAAGTCAAAATTCATTTGTCAGAAAATCTTAAAAAATCAAAAACAAAAAAAAGATTCCTGCATAAGTATTCAACCCCTTTGCCTTGGAAGCTGCAGATGAAAGAGGAAAAAGACACAGATGAAGATTTCCCTTACCAAGGACGCAATTGTCTTATATGGTGGCCGCCACCTGTAGTAACCCCCACTTCTCCCCCCAGTTTGGACAAACTGTCAGTCTGACAAATAATTGAGTTTAACTTTGAAAATTTACTGTTAGAGTTTACAAAAAAAAAAATATACTGACAAGAAGAATATGTGTATACCATTTATAATTATGGCAAATAAGATTATTTTATGGAGGATTCAGTAGTTTTGCAAGGCACTGCATTTGGGCGATTGTTTAATGAGAAGTCAGCTCTGCTGTACATCTCCGCTGAAAGCACTATAATAACGGTTCAGAGCTCTGTCCTGTTCCCCTGACTGTCTTGCTGCAGCCATACTGCCCTCCATGGTTCAGAGACAGAGGGGTCAGGTCGTGGTCATCAGCAGCATCCAGGGCAAGATCTCCATCCCCTTCAGATCAGCATGTGAGTGTTTCCTCTATCACACACACCGCTGGCGTCTGCTGTACGGCACAGGAACAAACCATTCTCCCAGAAAGCTACACTTTCCTTAAAACAATTGCCACTACCGCAAAAATGTGGGAGTGAAGCTTTTAGACCGTTAAAGTGAAACTCGCAAAACTGGTCTTTTTTGAAGCTGTTTGTGATGCTCTGGTGGACGGTTTGTCAGCTTGCCTTGGGTGCATTCCCTCTGGCGGACTCCAGTCAGAGAAAACGACTCGGTGCGGAGTCCCAGCATTAACAGCTACTGACTCCCGGCCTAGACTGGATCCATAGGTCCTTCAAATCTCGGCTTAACATCTCTGCGTGTCACATTCTCGCAGTGATTCATGAGAACATGGATGCCTCCTAGGGGATTCATTTAGCTTAAACATCACTTGTGTCGTTTACCCCCAAACCCACCCAGATGCAGCCTCCAAGCATGCAACACAGGCCTACTTTGACTGCCTGCGAGCAGAATTGGAGCAGTATGGCATCAAGGTCTCTGTGCTGAGCCCGGGGTACATCAGAACCAGCCTCTCTCTGAACGCTGTCACGGGGAACGGCTCCAAGTATGGAGGTGAGGACCCGACACGTGGGATCAGCTGCCTGATGTGGTACAAAGAACCTGATCTGAGACACTTTTATTCTGTAATAATGGGAAAAGCTGTCCCTTCAGTGGTCAAGAACAATCAACTGTTCAAGGATCCCCAATAACGTAGATTTCACTTGCCTTGAAGGGCACACAAGCACTTATGTTGTAGACATATTCATGAAATCTTTGTGCATTCACTGAACACACAAGCCTCAAAAACCGTTTGAATGATACTTAACGTAAGACTGAATGATACTTAATGCAATTCCTGCTGCTCAAAACCAAGAGGACAAGCTGCGCGTCTGTTCACAAACCGAGGCTCAGATATCTATAGAACCTGAGGTCATTTTCTTAACTCTGACTTAAATTAGATGTGCAATTTTCCATGGCTCTGTAACAGTCCGGAGGTAATTTGCAGTCTACTAGAGGTAGTCTTTTTTCCATTTATTTTAAACACATCCTCTTATAAAACTTTGTCAAAAAAAGAACCTCAGAACCTGTCAGTAGTAGCCATGTTTATATGTTATGACATTATACATATTTTTATATCTTTCCAGTGCCCAGTCTGACAATATTTGGCTTAATCGTGCGAGTAAAACTCCCTGCCTCGCTTATGCGGCAGTACAGGAATGTTTTACGACAGAGAATCTCATCAGTACCATCATTAGGATAATTAAATGACTTTAAGTGTGTATAGGTGCTAAGGGCTGCTGGTGCTGCTCGGTCACAGCCAGTGTGTACCCTCACCTGTGCTGTCCCAGTGCTTGACAGGAACACGGCAGAGGGCAGGGACCCGTGGGAGGTGGCCGGTGCGGTCCTGGAGGCCACGGAGCGCCGGAGGAAGGACGCAATGATGGCTGGAGCAATACCCTGTCTGGCTGTGTACATCCGCACGCTCTGGCCATCGCTCTTCTTCAGACTCATGGCCGGCCGAGCCAGAAAGGAGCATAAGGCCAAAGACCAATAAGGAGAGAGAGTGCAGCCAAAACAGCGACTAGAAGCTGCTCCATGCTCTCGTCACACTGTCACCTGGCTGGAGTCTGCCGTAAGAGTCCAGCAAAGTTGCTGTTCACTATTTCAAATCAAGAAGTTATTTTGAGTAACTGTTGGACAGCTTCAGATGTCTTTCATGTCCTATATGTTCCCGGACCATAATCTTACCATGCGGAGCTGAAATGTGCACAAATAACAAACATGGACAGAAGCCAAGATTACCTTCATTTATTACTCAGATCCCTGAAAAAAGTATTAAAAGTGCATCTTTCAGACTTAATGTTGTCGAATAACAAAGTTCATATTTCACTTCAGCTACTTGATTTTAATGGCATGGGGCTGTAGTGGCGATTATCCATAAAATTCAGACACTGTTGCAAGTTGTACTGGAGCATTGTTGGGAAAATAGTCCCAGCTGAGGTGGGAACCATAGAAAACAGTTCAGGAAGTTATGCTGTAGAAAAACTCTATCCAAAAACCATCCAGAGTGACTGAGATGTCTGTTTACTCACTGAAACATCATACTTTGTCTCCATGTCATGTGAGATGCTATTCTAACGACACGAAAGGCAAATAAAGGAAAACAAAAAAACCTTTCATGTAAAAAAAACTGAATAGCTTATGGTTTTACTGGTCTTGATATAAATCCTGCGGCTTGAAGAATTGTTTTGACAAATCTGAAAGCCATTTGATGACTGCAAATATACATGGTACGTGAGGACACCTGTTTGTGCTCATATGCTGTTTTTCTTTGAAAATAGTTTTTGAAGTTCCATTCTTTTTCTGAAAAGATCAAAGGGGGCTTTTAAGCGTGGGCTGTCTGTAGCGGCATTACTGGATAATGGATCACAAAACTGAACAAGTGATCTTCAAGCAAGTCTGAGATTCAGATGGACACTTGAGTGAGGGGAGAGAAGCCTTCAAGCATGGGCACTTTGATCAAACGCTTTATTTCTCTACCTATGCACTAATGATCCCCCAGTGTTTTTCACATTACCCTAGATTGCAGTTTCCCAATCCGGTCCTCAGGGCCACACAGACAGTCCTACCGGGAGCTGGGGGGCAGCAAAAATATGGATTGACTGGCAGGGAGCAAAAACATGGACCAGCTGTGGGTTCCTGAGAACCAGGTTGGGAAATACTGCCCTAGATCTCCATTCTTTTTTCATACTCCACAACCAGTACAGGATCCCAGGAATCCCAGCACATGACGCAGGGGCCAGTGTGACTGGAATTTGGAGTTAGTCACAGGTTACACACTCAATCACACACTAACGGGATCTTGGAGACACCAGTTCTCCCAATAGCATGCGTTTGGACTACAAAAACCTACATGGACATGTGGGTAATGTGCTAATTACAGAGGACTGGAACCTATAACCCTGCAGGTGTGAGGCTACACCGCAATCCACTGAGCCATGGTTAAAAAAGAAATGCTGTCAGCGTAAATTGCTGGTGACCTGTTTGTCGATGAGATCCCTCTAAAACACCACAGAAAAGACAGAGGGCCACGATTAGCAGAAGTGTCCACGTGTCATTATAATAGACTCCATATTTTATAGGGGGCTGAAAACACTTCAGTTTGCATAAGGTGAAATTTATATTAAACATAAAATGAAATGCAGAAAAAAAGAATGTTTAAATATCCTACATTTTAATGGAGAGGTGACTTTCTGACCAGGGTACAAGAAAACATCTAAGAAGGACAGACAGCTGCAGCTGGCTGTTAATCCTTAACATGTTAATGCGTCCATTTAATTGTCACTGTCACAATTTAACGTCAGCGTACCCCCCCCCCAGTTTGGGGGTGACATGGGGGAAGATGCTATGGGTGAAAGCAAATATATATATGGGCTTTATATTATGTCAATCAGTGCACAAAATGTTTGAAGACAAAAAAAAAAAAAAAAAACTATCATAAGCAGTTTCCACTGGCACCAAAAGGCTACTGAACTCAGGTCTTTTTTTGTGGGGAATTTCTGTGTTTTGGCCTTTCTTGGTTTTACCGTGTTTGTGATTCAGATTTTTTTTTTTTTTTTAAAAAAGAATCATAGAATGTAAAGTTCGTAGATCTTCTTGACACAGTAGGCCAACGCGGCCAGTGCTATCGTGTTATGGAGTCTCTTTCTGTGCACGTCGTCCCTCCTCACCAGCACCACCGGTGAGGATGAGGTGAGCGTGTGCAGCGGCAGGCGCGAGAGTTTTTGGCTGTCGTACTCCACTTGGTACTTGCAGCAGGGGTCGAACTGCCAGGAGATGCCGTAGAGGGCGGCGCAGGCCACAGTGAGCGCGCCGGCGGGCAGGGCCACGTAGCGCGAATACTGCACGGGCAGGGAGAGGGGCGCCAGCAGGCACGCCAGGCCCGACAGCACTGCCGTCTTGTGCAGGCAGTTCCCCACGGTGACCCAGCGTGCCGTCTCGTCGCCGATGCGCGTGGGCTCGATCACTATGTACTTGTATTGGGCTTCCAGGGCCTGCTCCAGCTCGTACTCAAACTGGTCCTGCGCGTTCTCTCCGTTGTAGATCTCGTGCACAATGTAGCAGTCCGTGGAGGCCATCGTTCCCCTGCATGACAGGGGGGGAAGGATAGGGGAGGGATTCCAGTGTTAGGCCAGTGAGGGGAGGACAGGAGAGGATGTGAAATAGTGAAATAAACTGACCAGGTGTCGGACGGACGGCTGCAAATGCAAGTAGGCTTTCGTATAAACATGGACTTCATCAGAACAGCAGTATTTTACTTTCAAATTATTTAAAATTAAGCTCTGCAAAACCTGCACAAACTTTACAAAATATTTGTGACATCTGAGGATGTACTAGAATAGAACATATCAAAATAGAATAGTGATGCTTTATGCATCACACCATTATGAGGCTGCAATGATAAACTCTCAACATAGTGAAAGTGCTTAACACTGAAGCTGCCCTTTTCTTATTCTCCTCCTCATCATCATCAGACCCCCCAGAAAATCATTCATCCAAAACACTGCTGACTTCATCCTGCATATTCTTACAACACCCCCTTAGAGCCACGCTAATTTGGGCTGGTCTACCTCTGTCTGCACCCAAGGAAAACATGCTTAGTGCTGATATGTCGCAACCGCTCCGGAGCTTAAGGGAACCTGACATTCCCTGATAAAGACAGACTCCCCACCTCATGGTATGACTCTAACAGTGGTCTTACTGATAGAACTTATTTTATCCAAATTAAACTAAAGCAGAAATAGTTTTATTTTCTTATGTATCCATTTCTCTGTAGTACTACTACTAATAATTACTGTAAACAAGTTTTTTTTCTCTGAATCCTAAATTCCAAATCACATGCTAACAGTTATTTAAAAACTTTTGTGTTGCCTGATTACTACCATTAAGGGCATTCTGGCAACTTCTGAGCAGTCAAATTACAAATAACACCGATGCATTTGGGGTTAATAATTTAAACAACTTTTCCAAATTCAACGTTAATCTCACTCGTGATACGAACACCGTTTACACAGAAAAGCAAACAGCATGACAGAAATCAATAGATAACTGTTGCAACACAGTGCATTCTTTTCGGGCTGGACACGCGTGGAAATATAGGTGAAAGCTTTCTCTTTGGTGGGATTAAATAGGCGAGCTATTTTTATGGAGCTGCGGGACCATCCAGTGTGGACCCAGGCGTTATTGTATCAGCACGAGTTAATCCACTGCCGACGTATCTCTGAGGACCAGGAACGAGTTCGCTGGCAACTGGTCTAACTGATACAAATCAGACGCGACCTCATACAACCAACAGGATAGCTAGCAGAAGATATGTAAAAAGTACTTCAGTATTAATTTCCAATGGCTTATTTGACATAAAAATAGCTAACTACCCACCCTTTCACCTTCGCAAACTGCTGATCACAGACATTCACGCGGCTAGCACTCTAGCTGACTGGCTAACTGTAATGACACTCAGCTGCCATTTTCATCGGGGTGAAATTCACACGAGGACACACGTTTCACTATGAAATTACAAACTCTACTAAGTACCACACCTGTAATTATGTATATTAATTACGGTCAATGTCACAGGAGCACTGCTTGTCATTCGGTCATGCTAGCTATCGGGCATACTCCATTTTCCCGTCCGCCAAAGACCAAAAAAATTCTATGCCAATATATTTTATAAGCGTATAAACCGTTCGTCATTTTGCCAATGAATAAAAATGAAGAAATACATTCCATTAAGATCTGCACGTAAGTATTTGGCAAACGAACGTTTGAGTTTAACCAGCATTACGATACTTGCCACTAATAGTAAAACACCACAACGTACAAAATGAAATTCCAGGTTACAGACGACTGACAACCAGACAATACAATTGATGCGTCGTGCATGGCCTTTCTAAAAAAACAGGTGTTACCTGCACAGTATTACAGTACAAAAAGTTCACTTCATTAGAAAAATAAAGTATCACTGACCTCTCCCTGTTGGCTGGGACACCGCGCCTCCTTCCGAACGCCGCCATCTTGGACACTCAACGCATCATTGTGGCCGCAAAAAGTGACGCCGCATTACCGGAAATGTAGTTTTTAACGGGCGACTCGATTAAGGTTGTCAGGCGGATGCGGGAAAATTAAAACTACAAATACTGGCATTCCGTGTGATGCAGGAGTTTCATGCATAGCCTGGTGGGAAATAACAGTTGCACCTTGGAAAAAATAAACGCGGTTTATTTATTGATTGGATGCAAGTATGCAATGTTTTGTTTAGCTTATGCAGTTATATCCATAGTGCACGCGATTACATCGCCCGTTCTTTTCAGTCCGCTTTCTTTTGCATACAGAATGTTTAGGGTCATATGTATATACCCACCTGTTCAGGTAAACACCGTGCACCGTGAAAGGCATGTACGATGTCGTTCATTGAATTAACGACTACGCAACACACTCAATAAGTAAATCACGAAAAACACCACTGCACGCTATTAACGCCAGATCTCGTGTTTAATGGAGCTTTAAAATAAGTTGCACAATATTGTGGTAATTATTGGGGATACTAGTCAGCACCGATTCCATCTGAATATCGCCAAAGCGCCTTTATTTGAAGACCATTGATATTCAAGAGCAGTATTACAAACTCTGCGATTGTTCTATTAGGTCTACCTAGAATGTAACTTGCAAAATGCAATACACTTATCCCCCACCACTCCAACGGTGTGAGCAGCAAGCAACCTCATTGAGCTACATGTCACACTCCCTTACGGTGGTCCGGCCAACATATTTACACAACATTACCTCACCACTATAATTTAAAAAATAACACATTAATAACTGGAACAAACCTGAACATGTAAAACTAAACCAAATAGCCCCTCAAATAGGCTCATGGGAGCTCAAACATGAACTAGTCCTACCCAATCATTCCAGAGCAGGAAGTGTTGCCCATGCATGCTAGCCTGTAGTAACCACTACCATATTAAATGGTGAATGGGACAGTTCATCTACACTCACTGGCCACTTTATTAGGGTACACCTTGCTAGTACTGGGTTGGACCCCCTTTTGTCTAAAGAACTGTCTTAATTCTTCATGCCATAAATTCAACAAGGTACTTAAAACATTCCACAGAGATTTTGGTCCATGCTGGCATCAAACATTTTCTGCAGATTTGTCAGCTGCACCTTCATGATGCAAATCTTCTGTTATACCACATCCCATAGACACTCTATTGGATTGAGATTTGGTGGCTGTGGAGGCCATTTGAGTACAATGACCTCATTGTCATGCTCAAGAAACCAGTCCAAGATGATATCAGGTTTGTGACATGGCGTGTTATTCTGCTGGAAGTAGCTATTAGAAGCTTGGTACACTGTGGTCATAAAGGGAGGGACACGGTCAGCAACAATACTCAGGTAGGCTGTGACATTTAAACAATGCTGGGTTAGTACAAAGTGGCCCGAATTGTGCCAAGAAAATATCCCCCTCACCATTACACCACCACCACCTTCCTGACTTTCTGATACAAGGCCGGATGGATTGATGTTTTCATGATGTTTTTGCCAGACTCTGATGCTGCAACATAAATCAAGACTCATCTGATCAGGCAACATGTTTCCAATCTTCCATTGCCCAGTGTTGGTGAGCCCATGCCCACTGTTGCCTTAGTCTCCTGTTCTTAGCTAACAGTAGTCAAACCTAGTGTGGTCTTCTGCTGCTGTAGCCCATCTGCTTCAAGGTTTGACATGTGCATTCACAGATGTTGTTCTGCATACCATGATTGAGATTATTTGAGTTACTGTCGCCTTTCTATCAGCTTGAACCAGTCTGGCCATTCTTCTCTGACCTCTGGCATCAACAAGGCATTTTCGCCCAGAGAATCACTGCTCACTCAATGAATTTTCTTTTTCAGCCCATTCTCTGTAAACCCTAGAGATGGTTGTGCGTGAAAATCCCAGTAGATCAGTTGCTTCTAAAATACTCATACCAAGTCACTTAAATCACATTTCCATGTGCATATAACCGGCACATATAATGATCATTTCAAATATCTGCAATAAAACAAAATAATCCATATTTAAATGGAGAATGCAACATGAGTTTTTTTTTAATAAACATTTTATTGGACAAACAGTGTTGATTTATGTAGGTTACACAAAGCTCAAGTCACACGAAAGTGCACAGATTTCCCCAGACATTTGATGATTGATAAAAGATCAATTGTATATGTATTACAAAATGAAGTAGTTGTGATGTAAATTTCAGAGTCAGGGCTGGACTAGCCCACTGCTATATTGGGCATTTTCTTAGTCGGCCAATGGATTTGTGGATCGCCATAATTCGTGCCGTCTCCCCATCTAAAATATTTTCAGAAGTATGAATGTGTGATGGGCTCGTATGGCCAAAAGTCCAGGGGTGATTTTTAATCCCAGTTCAGCCCTGATCACAATATGCTCATTGGTCATTCTGTGCAACCAAGTGGTGATCGATATAAGGGGGTGCGTCAGCAACAGGGCTGTGGACTAGGGAGGAAGGAAATGGTCCATACCAGGAAAACATATTGCCATTATGTAACTGGCATAGTGTTTTATTGTTGTAACCTAGAACTTAAGGTTAATGGAGCTTCAGGAGCTCTTGTCTGTTTTCCCAAGGACATCTGCGTCAAAACTATTCACTGCAGAAATGTTAATTGTGAACTAGACCTACAAATAGGTAGTGCCAGTCAGTTTATTTATAGACAACTTGGGCATGATTTTCTGCTTAATGTTTACATTGACACACTAAGATAACCTGTGCTGAAAATTGCATTGCACCTCTATGTCACATTTCCATACAGGTTTCCTTCCAGGTATATGGTTTAGAGTAAGCTTTTCTGCCTAAAATTGCTTTGATTAGGCAATCTTTCATGGCTTGTATAACCTTCAATCAAGAGGCTGTTTGTTATGCTGCAGCAGATTCCACTGCGACTGACACTGAAGAGCCTGACAAAAATGCAAAAAATATTTTACTCTTGCAATCATGCTGGACTCAGGATATAGCAGTATGTCAACAAGTTGTTTAATTTAAAATGTTGGGTAAAACCGGCATGTTATAAAGGATTGCTTTAAAACTATATGCTAATAATAATAATGTTATTGGAAATACTTCAATGATTTGTTTCATGTGCATGATGAATTAGGAGAAAAAAACGTATTTGTGAAAACTGTTCATTTACTATAAATTACGATCCTGCTTCCTATTGGTCAATAATGATAAGGTATGGGTTGGAAATAATCATATGGAATATTTACTTATGTTACTTGTGTAACATTCCTAAGTAAGTATGAAGTACATTTAAGGCAATTCTTTTTTTTCTTTCTTTTAAACTGTTAGTGTGTGTGTTAAATTCACAAACCATGCAGGGTATCACTTTGAATCCTGTGCTTAAAATGTCAAGGGAAGCTGTCTTGGAGAAAGAAATAAGAAGACATTAGGACATCTTACTGTGTACAACAAAAAGGGCAGTAAAGCCAATGTGACCTTGCATGGGTCCTCGTAAGAACGGCCACACTTCATCCTGGATAGTTAACAGCAAAATTATTAACCTTAAAAATGGCAATGCTAATAATACCTTTAATAGGTAATGATTGTAGTTAAGTTTAAACACTGGGCACAAAGTGCAAAGACTGGTGCCAACCTGAACTCACACCAACAATGCGACCAAAGGCAAAACATCACTGGCTGCTCTAATATACAGCCACAGTGAAACAGCCCAGCTTTCCTTATTTCACACAACATACATATCTGCTCATTCACATCCTGATTTTCTTGAGTTCAACGTGTCCCTGGGTCACAAGGGAGGGGCTTGCCTTACACTTCTTTAACAAATCACGGTTATCATTATATGACATCACCACATTACAGTTTTTTCCAATCATTTTCACACTTGTCTGAATACTGTCTACTTTTTCACCACTCTTCACACAGTGGGCTGTACCAATACACACCTGAGCACATCACTTAAATAAGATAGATATATGGATGATACGGATTTCCAAATATCAGCTTCCGGCTCATGATCAGCTGGTTGCTTGTTGAAATGATTCATGTTTCTTATGGATTTAACTGAGACACAGTAAAATGGCATATTCACTTTCCTTTTGCTGCTCTGTACTTTCCCAAGAAGGAATGAAGCACAAGCCTGTGTGCCCCCCAGGCAGGACAGGTTGCTCCCCCAGCGCCGATGGAAAACTTGAGCTCATCAAAACAATGTCGTCAGTCTGCCTAGTTATTTAAAGATGCGCACGGACAGTTGTGTTCAGCGAAAGCATGTGCTTTTATTACGCTATCCACCCTGTCAGCGGGGAAACGCTCTCTGTGATGACTGTACTTCAGGTCAAAGGTCAGCAGCTGAATGGGCATCGCATTAGAACGACATTCACACGACCGAGGGGCAGAAGCCCAGCTAACAGCTGTAACATGCACATGTAGTTTACCAGTCAATTTTTCTTATTTAATAAAGTTCACCTTTCATCTTTTAAGCTTCTGATGCATATAAAACAATTTGATTTGACAATATAACACAAAATGAAAACAAAGACAAATCCAGCTTTTAAAAAGTATTTATTAGTACTGAAATTAAAAAAAGACTTGACGCAAAGAATTAAAGGTTTTTTTCCCCATTGATGTTTCAGTGCAAATGTCCTCCTCTTTCCTGAGTAAGGTTAACCAGGTGCCAAAGGTCCTGTGTGATGGGGGCGGGGGGGGGGGGGGAACAGCATGTCTGTGGTTTCACTGCATTGTGAGCTTTTCCAGCCATGAAAATAAAGAGTGTTCATAACCATCTGTCAGCACGCAGGCCTTGCACACATGTACAGCCTACCGCTCGAAAAACGAACTGGTGAAAGCAGCTTGCTCGCGCTTCTACGGCCAAGCTGACATTAGTGAAATCCGATTTTCATACTCAAGCCAACTTCCCTCACGCTACTTTATTGGGTATGAGTGTCTTACGTCAGTCACTGCCTCGTCTCTGACGCCTGTGCCTTTGCTCAGCAGCACCTTGCCCCTTAAAGGCATCCTGAGCTGACCTTCTCAAAACCTGCGATGCACATCTGCAGCTGTAACAGCACCTAGCTCTAAACGTTAGAACCTTGGCGAGCGTGACAGCAGACTCGATCGTCCATCTTGTATTGCTAGCAGGAAAAATTAGCCCACGGCAGGTCGAATAAATGTTCACTTTGCTTACTGGAACAGGTACATTGTACTCAAGGCTTTCACTTCGGTCTCCATCAGCTGAAAGTTCTCATAAAAAAAGGAAAAAAAAATTAAGAGTCTGCGTTCGGCTGGTGTGAACAATCTCTGGATCGTGAAGTGTGCGACGTGCTAATGAAGGAACCTGTGGAAACACAGGTTAATGGCAGGAAAATAAAACAGAAAACTGTATTTAGTCATTTAGCCCTTTAGAATAACATCTCCTTAGCTTTCTGGAAGCCTGCACGGGAATCTCATGGATATGTAAACTTTGTCCCGTCTCAGTGTGCCCTCATACTTTGTGACGTAGGCAGACATGAAAACCAACATATTAAGGGCAGAAGAACGCCCCTATTCTTGGCTCTCTTCTGTTTGTGGGTCTCAGACTGGCAAATAAATACGGTGTGGGATCTCCGGCGTTGCGTTGCGGTGCTCTTGTTCATTATGTAAACATGCCCATCCCACCCCATTCCAATGACCTTCCCTCCCAAGCCCACCCAGATTCCTACAACCAGCCCCTACCCCCAACCCTGGAAATGCTGGTAGCTCCTCCTCTTCTCCTGGAGATCAGTGAAGGATGCACTCCAGATACTGAGGCTGAGGGTTTTCCTTGACGTACTTCTGGATGTACCAACATGTTAGGTGGGCCTTCAGTCCCTCTTCCACCACGAAATCCATGGCAGCCTAAAGCCAGAAGAGATGTATCAGCAGACGGTGTTTGAATCCTCAAGCACAGGAACAGCCACAGATCTTTCAATGAATTTTACAGCCCTACGGATTGGAACAGCAGAGTAAATAAAGAAATAACAACATAGGAGTTATCCAGGGTCCTTCAATGACTGCAACAAACACCAATTCTTGATCCACACCACACACAGTCACATTAATTCAATGAAAATTACCTGAAATTATTAAAAACTTGTTCATGTGACATGCAATTTTACACATATGCACACCGAGATGTACTTCAGTATTTAATTCAGTTATATTATAGTCTGCTGATGTTCCTACTGCTCAGATAAAGGGGCTAACATGAATTTGAAGCTAGGGGAGCCGGCTCTGCTTAGCGTTCAGCCGTCAGGGGACAGGAGCTCTGCTGCCTGATGAACTTCTTCAAATTACAGAGATAAAGCCACGAAGAGCAGAAAGCAGCAATACAGCAATCCTTCTGTATCCGCTAAAATGTGTAGCAGTATGTTTTTTTATTATCCTTTCGTCCTTTGAAGGGTATAAAAAGTCTGATTGTCATTGCTCTGTCATTCCTTGATACATAATTTTTCATTGCTAATATCATTTCTTGAGAATTAGGCTAAGACATTGGAATCAATTTTATTCAAGTGTACAGTATTGTACAGTACTATATAATGATATCCAATGTACTTTATTATTGTTGTATTTAATGTTGGTTATTCTTACTGTGCCTAATTTATAAATTACCATATGTATGTACACAAAAATCACGTTGTTTATGTGGTCCGCGGATGGTTCGCTCTTATCCGCAATAGGTCTTGGAACATACCACCCGTAGATATGGGGGGGGGGGGGGATTTCTATATCCATTCAGTAGCCTGTGCGAAGCGGCTAGACATCACAGCCACATGGGTAACAGTGACCATCCCAGAAACACACATGCTGTACAATAGACTTCTGTAAAAAGACCTTAAAATGGCCACACTAGTTTGTTTATCCTACCTACCACCCCCACCAAGGCAAAATATACTCCGGAATACATTACTATAAATTACACAGTGAAACCATGATTGGAACAAAGAGGTTTACACATTTAGAGCCCCAACCTATGATGTACAATCATAGCAGAATTGGTACGGTAAGTTATTAGTAAGTAACTGAAAAGCCACAAATCCACTTGACAAGGTAAATATTACTGCATATATCCATGGGATGGAAATCTAGAAGTCTACTGGGGATTTTGACAAAGATGTCCTAAAATGGATGCAAACAAGAGCCTCGGTCTGGGCAGAGCCGTTCGCTGGTGTGTTAAGAAGCTCTCTCTGACAGGCGCTGGCCCAAACGATGCCCCATAGCTAAAAAGCCATTGCATGCATTAGTTTTTCTGACATGATGAATTCTTATGATTTTAATCTATGCCAAAATGTGGAGGTATTCAAATAAAACAATTATACGTTTATATATTCAGCCTTTTAAAACAGCATTTAACTTTGAAAAACAATATTTATGCGATTCATCACACCAATTTAAACGACTGCAGAGTAAAAAATACTGACTCAACAACTCAAACATCTCAAACCACCTTGTTCTCCACTGTCTTGGGTATCTATTATAACCTTCTTACCACTGTTATTTTATTAGTTTACCTAATTCAGCAGCTTACTATACTTCATTTCAGGATATAAAACTAAACCAATATTGTTTTTCATGAAATAGCCAGAGAAAACCAGCAGCAATAATCTCCTGAGGATAGAAAAAAGGGTTTTAACAGGGCTTTAGCTGTACAGTCTGTGTTTAGACTGACCCAAGTACACGGCCAAACCCGATTTTTATTTTTCAAGTGTCGTCTTGCTAACTGTGCCAAAACCACGTCCGAGCTAGTGCCAACACGCTTAGCGTGGTGATGCACTGTAAATAATACTTACTGAGGCTTTTCCAGAACATGCTGGGAGTCCTGTAAACCTGTGGCCCGTTTCTGCTTTACAACAAGGTGAATTATACAGGGGAGGCCTGGACTAGCTGAGAGAAGATACTTCAAATATTATCATTCGTTAATGAAGTATTTACCTTCCCTTTTATTTTTTATTATGCGTCTTTCATTTTAGTTTAAATCACACGGGGAAACCCATTCTACTGCGTTCTATTACCAAATAAAACTTAAGACTTCTTGAGAATGTAAACATTTGTATGAAAGACATAAATGCAAACGTTTACATTATAAAACTAAAATACATTTTCTATTCCAGATGTCAAACATATAATATTCTTTGTACAACTGGATACAAAAAACACACACAAAAGAATGCCAAACAAACTTTTGTTTTTTCCCCCCACAAACCCTTGGCCTTTCTCACTGGCCATAACAGTATGTTATAATATATAGCTAATTGGGTAGAATTGCATAGACTCTGTTATGTCATGCTATAAACATCCATGTGTGGCTGTTTGGTCACCTCTGATCACCCATCTGCACATTAATTTGGTATGAGGTCTGTCTGTCATCAAGAGAAACATAATAGGACAAAACTTATTAAATGCATAATATACATTGTATACATCCAGACTGGTTGTAACGCTCTTACCAGTTACTGAATATCTGAGCATTGTACTAGTCTGTGCCTATCACTGTTAAACTAAAAGAAACATATATATGCACCTCTAAAATCACCCGAGGCGCCCCTATTCCATGAAAGCATGCTTAATTGTGGTTGCAGGTTTATAGAGAAGGCAGAGAAATGCTGCCCAGCTCCCACCTGTGTAGAGAGAGCTCTCAGTGGCATGTAGCCAGGGTGCAGAAGCAGCAACAGAGACCAAGCGGCCAGCTTTCAAACACGTACAGGAAACTGGATCAGTACCATCTGGCAGCTTGAACAAAACAAAATCGATCATGTATAGATATACATAATCAATGTCCCGTAATACCTGTAAGAGTGGCCCTAACCGAAATGATACACTTCGAAGGGCAGTATTTTTAGTCTCCTATTACCTCATACAGCTGTTTTCTTGTGTTCTGTGAGCATGTTACTGTCACCTGGAGGCAGCACAGCGTGACCTCACTTAGGGCAGCAGCACAGGCGCATGCGGCCGCATGCTTGGCAGGGAGACCCAGCGCTTGACTGGGAGCCACATTCCAGTGGTTAATGCCGAGGGAGCAGGGGGGAGGGGTGGGGGGGCTGGTGTGCATTCCCATTGCTGCTACTCTTTTCAGCTGGGACATACTCGAGACAGCCAGTCCAGAGAAAGACACTGCACGTCAACGCTAAGCTTAGCAGCACACGCAGTAAGTGGAGGACAAGCATGCGACATGGCTGACGTGCATTAGCGCATACTCGCCCCACTCATATTAGGCTACAATGCTCTCAGCACAGTCGCAATGCTGCAAGGAGGGGTGCACAGACAGATGAGCAGCTGATCTCTATGCAAAGGGCGCTGGCAGCTTGCGGATGCCTCGCCCATCCCTGGGAGGAAATTTCACGGCAATCAGCACAGATAACCTGACTTGCACTCTCACCTATGCGGGAGCTCCAAGGAAACAACCAGGAATTATCTTACTAAAAAATAATCATGTGGTAGTTAGAACCTGTTAAAAGCTAACACGTGCAACAGAATACACTGGGTAAAACCCTGTAAACGCAGTGTGCAAAGCGAAGTCCGTTTTGGCAGTTTTCTGGGAAATAATGCTTTTGTTTCCCCAAAGTGTCAAGAAAACCAGTGATGGAGCGACAAAAACATATAAATACATCCATTCAGCCTCAAACCACTTATTCTGAGCAAGATCATGGTGGGGGTGGGGGTCTGCAGCCTTTCCCAGGGAGCACTGAGCACGAGGCTGGGGTACACCCTGGATGGGATGCCAGTCCATTATAGGGCACGAGGCTGGGGTACACCCTGAATGGGATGCCAGTCCATTACAGGGCACGAGGCTGGGGTACACCCTGGGTGGGATGCCAGTCCATTACAGGGCACAAGGCTGGGGGACACCCTGTACGGGATGCCAGTACAGGCAATTTAAAGAGACCAATTAACCTGACAGCATGTCTTTGGATTGCAGGAGGAACCTGGAGTGACCAGAGGGCATTTATGCGACACAGGGAAACACAGGAGAGGTTCAGCTGGTTAGTCAATCTGACACATACTGGTGGCCATTTCTGCACATAATGTATTATGCAGGTGATGACATACTTAATACCTTTAGAAACCAACCTGCAAATCCATTTAAGATGCAGGCAATTATGAGTAGTGTATGAATCATTCATATCACACTAACTGACACAAAAATATACAGACAAATTAAAAATTAAGGAGATTATCGAAACCAGGAGGAGGGAGAAATGCAAAACATTCCCATTTGTGAACCCATTAAGTAATCAACCAACCAAACTAATCTCAGTTAATGGCATACAGTGAAGATCGCCAAAACCCTCATCTATAAAACACCCCATTTTACTGACTGCAACCTAGACTTTCTGATGTTGTACAAGTGTGGGCAGTGAAAATGCATTGTTTTTTACATTAAGTAAATAAAAGCCGCTAATTAAGATTAATATTTTTGTTAATTTTTTTCCTCATCTTATTTTCACATATACACATGGTTGCTGTGGTAAAAGTTGTTGACTGGGGGGTGGAATTAATTGTCCTTTTATGTCCACTCTTCTGCAATGCGCAGACACTCTCATCAAGAGAAAGTCAAACGCACGTGTACACGTGACATACAAATAAATAACACAATCTCTTGTAATATGTGGGCTCACGGTCGATATGATGCCGACCACTGTGTGTGTTAATAGCATTACTAGATTACTTGTAATTGCGAAAAGTCTAAACACTTTCAATTGCTGCAGCCTGCTTAAGCTTGTTTTTGACTACAGGATGCATCTAGATTTCAGATGATAACACACATTGTAGTTGGCAGGAATTGGTATTCAGAAATAAAATACTGCAACTGCTTTGTCAAACTGAATCATCCTAATTTAATATTTTTATGTTTATTGCAGAAATAATATAAGAAAAGCATACAATTTCAGGATGCAGTTTAGTGTGCTGATACATTAAAAATGAAAAATTATGCTAGGGAAGTGTAGTATCTATGATAGCTTTTGAGGGCTTTTTGTTCCAACCAGTCCCTGAAAGGTACAAATGAATCAGGTTCACATCATTAAATTTCAGTGAAGGTGGTCCTTTAGCCATATTTAGGTAAATAAAATCCAGTTGGTGTAATATCAAACTACAGAGAAAATGGTGTATTATGTGTGCGCATTTTAAGATTTAAAACATCTAAATCATGTTTAATCTATCCTTACACTTACATTATTGAAACATTTCTCTTTCAATGCATTTGCATACAATCTTACTTAATTTGAGAGCTTGTAAGGATCCTTAGTTTGGAAATAACATATATTTACATTATCGTGATGTATACATTTCTTACTTTATGATACATGTCACTGCTAAAAACATGGTTTCCTTCAAAAGTTTTTCATTTAATATATAAACAAAATATTTCTGTCAACAGTCCTATTAGAACTTATAAAACCAGTTCAGGAAACCAAGTAATGCTCCTTTATTCATGTAATTGTGTTATCCATTTGATAGCCAGAAGACCAGATTTACATTTCAATCCCAGGTTTCCTCACCCAAAGTCTAACACTCCTATAGTGTTAAGAAGTATCATGTTATTTTTACTGCAGTATGTGAAACTATTCATGTGGCTACTAAACTCAAATAAGCAAGCCTTTGTGTTGGCCTGTTGCATAAAATCCTGTTTACACACCACAACGACTGGATACACACTCTGCATGTAAGAGTGTACCAGAAAGACAACACCGAAGAAAGTAAAATGTGCTTTTTCCTTTCCTAGTGCTGGGCCTGGATATACATACATAAAATGTTTGGAAGTATGCTGTCCATACTGAATGGTTGTTTGACGGTACCTTTGCCAAGTGCTTAGCAATGCCTCTCCCTCTATAGGCATCTGGTACTTCTGTGTGCTGCAGGTCCACAGTCCTCTTCCCAACGTACTCATACAACAGTACAGCTCGATCGTGAGAGCCTGCGGGTGAGGAGGGAGAGGGTCCAATGCATTTAAAGTCTTCCTTATAAGAAACAACTGGGGGGGGGAAGGGGGTCACATACCCAAGTGTACATACATGTATAAGCCAGCTCTGAAATTAACAATGCAGCCCTGTGCACAGGAACACAAACACTTTTGTATTTTGTCTTTGACATTTGCAGCCAACATTTATGCACATACTTAAGTTTCACTGTATGGGATATTTTGTAGTGAATGCATTCATAAATTGCTTAAGAGTCAACAAGGTCCTATTTGGCACTATTTCACCATTTTTCACAGAAGCGAGGATATTTTATTACCACAGTGGGATTTAATAAGCTGTATAAAATAAAAGCCCACTTTGCTTCCAGCAATATGAACCCCAATGAAGCCTGTGAGCCCGCATGCACCCTTTCATCGTCGCTGGGGGGAGGGGGGGTCACTGCCGCGGCCCGCTCTCCAAGCTGGATACCCGTCTTATACTTTTATTTTTCGAGACTCTTACAAGGACTCTCAATGCTGTCACATGTCGCTGCCCCCCCCCCCCATACAGGTACGTGCATCCAGGCATCCAGGTTACCTGCCCAACTACCCAGATGGCGTTCAAATGGCCAAAGAAACACTAGAGATAACCCGAAACATCTGAATGGGAATAAAAACAGATCGACACTACATCGAGGCACAAGAAAGCCACCCACCCACACACACACACACACACACACAAAAACTCGAAAACGAACAAAACAACCATGATGTGAGTGCAGCAAACTAGCCAGAAAGGGCTGAATGCAAGGTAATCATTTCTCGACTGCCATGCCAAAAAAATACAATGTTTCGGAAGATAATGCGGTAGCGCGGATGCCAATGCGAGTTGCTCGCCAGCGATTAAATAGCACTGCACGCACTTTGGTAGGTCGTTAAATTACTACGAAGTTTAAACGGAAAACACACATACACACACTGGGTGGAAATGGCCATAGATAGCTAGCTAACCTCGCCTGCCATACAGGCGGCAGTAATCGGCCACTGAAACAGCGCAGATGCGATCTGAGAAGGAAAGGTGAGGAGGGCCGGTGGGTGAGCGGCGACGGCGGAGCCAGGGAGGCGCACGGATGCCGCGTTCACCCCGTACTTTACCGTTTAGGCTAACTGTAAACTGCCGCCGCCGTCTGTCGTGCTCCACTCTGATCGACATGTTGAGATCGAGGACGTTAAAGTGCGCCGACTGAGCCATGTTTTCTCCTCTCTTTTTAATATTTTTGGTCAGCGCGAATAGCCGGGAGCGGCGGAAACACACATACACCGGCGAAATATCAGCAGGTTGCGATAAAGCGAAACGCGTCGAGAAGGAGCGGGTTCATGATCCTGCGAAGTGACAGGGAAGCCTGGAAGCCACTAACGCTAGTAAATCAGCTGTGAGGTCACATGACCGCGCCTGTCCAATCAACGCGCCGATTATATGTTTTGATACGGTGTGTTTTTATTGTCAGCGAGTTCATTCCGAATTCACATATTCGCCTTTTGTTTTCGTACAAACACGCTCCTGTTTTCCAAATAAGGAAAAACACCTCAAGCAAAATGTGAACATAAACAACTCAACTAAGTTATATAAATTGGTAATTCAACTTTGTATCGAAGCGAGTTTTAAGAACGTGTTGTTTTCAATTGTAATGGAAAACCACGACCACAGGAGGCAACGTAAAGAAAATCTAAACTCTTAAAGGCACCCTACCAATAACTGTAATTACTTAAGGAAACCTTTGATTTGTCGTTTTAATAGTCGTGTCTATATTTTTTCCACATTAACGCCGCTAAACAGCATACTACTTAAGTAACAGATACAATATCATACAATCAAACTTAAATATATTTTTATCTGTTTAAGCTGCAGAACATCCGCAAAAGAGTTTGTAAATAAAATATCTGCTTCTAACCTTCATCTGTTAGACTAGAACGGCTCTGTTCTGTTGACTCAGTCACGAGCTTACTTCTATGTAATTTAGCCACTTTAATGACGTTGATGCTGTTCCAGCTTAGACGTTTGCTAAAATATACATTTATCACTGTAATACATATACACTGTTACACTCTGTTTTTTTAATACCTTCCTTAACTCTTTACTCTTCCAACATACCCACAGGGCATTCCCAGGTTATCTCTAGATTCTTTTCTGAAAGAAAATTGAATTTTACTTTGCTCAGATGTCAGGTCTTATAATGTGTAAGTCGTTTGTGTTAATACTAAAAGTCATCTAAAAAATTCTGTGACAAAAACTGGTTTGTGTTTTGTAGTTATATGTTTCATTGCCTTTAGTGAATTTGGTAGTATGTCTATTGTGTGCTTGTAACCAGCCGTCATTCTTGGCGAGGACTCCCTGGACCTGGAAGAAGAGTTATTGTAACTCAATGGGACCTTCCTGGTTAAATAAAGGTTAAATAAAAATGGCTTCTTCCCCCTTCTGCTGACACAAGAAGCACAACATGTGTGATTGCCTTTGCAAGTAGCCTGGTCTGTCAGTTATTCATCAGGGGTGCGTTTCACAAAACAATATCAGTTCAGCTCAGTTGTCATCCAGTTTCATCAATTTCACCAATTCCCAAGCAATTATCTAGCACAGGGTAATAGGGAGTGTTTCCCAGGAAGCACAGAGCACATGGCAGGGGACACCCTGGATGGGATGCCAGTCCATCACAGGGCACGAGGCTGGGGTACACCCTGGATGGGATGCCAGTCCATCACAGGGCACAAGGCTGGGGTACACGCTGGATGGGAGGCCAGTCCATTGCAGAGTACACATGTGGACACACTATGGACATTTAACCTAACTACATGTCTTTGGACCACAGGAGGCAACTGGTATAACATGGGAAGAACCTGTAAACTTCACATACATAGAGTGGGGGATCTGTCCATTTATCCATCCATAACTGCTGATTCAGGACCAACTGGAAGGTGTACAGGATAATGTTCCTGTACTGGTGTGTCTTGGTGAAACTTATGGCTTAAGATTGTATTCTGAGTCAGGCCTGGCTCCAGGGGGGAGGGGGGATCATACACTTGGCCCCAGGCCCACCTCTTTCATGGGGCCGGGCCTGGTCTGAGTTAAAAATGAGTTTATTAAACAATGAAACAACTAAAATGTTGCTGCTAGACTAATTTTTAAAAGAGTTTTTTTGAGACATGTGACCAAGAACCAATGACAACTACACACAAAACTGATGTATTACATATACCACTGGTCAGTAGATAACCTGCTCACGCTGCAGTGTATCTTTCAGCCTCTGCTTCTGGCTTTTCAGGGGAGTGTTTGCTTAGGTCAGCTGCTAATGCGTCCACAGTTCAAACAGGGCTCCTCCCCGTCGTCGCTTTGGGAGCGATCTTCTGAAGTACGCCAGATGGGCCCAGCCAGTGATCCTTAACCACTCTGTGGCACGTGCTCCGTTTGACTGCTAGATGAGGCCGGATACGGGACAGCGGTCACATGCCCGAATCCTTTTTGCCAAGTGGGCCCTTGGAGTATGTTTACGGCGAAACGCATGCTGTTCTTAGGCACGGTGGCCGAGGAGGACACTGAAGTCATTGCATCACCTTCCAGCTTCAAGTAGGAATATGACATTGTGAAGAAAGCAGATCCAGAGTTGGACATGTTAATCCTATATGAACTCTGACACCATCATTACACCCTCAACAGACCTCGATTAGCACCTGGTAAGGAACAAAAAATCCACCTGCAGTTCAATTGCATTGTCCTTCATGAGGGTTACAGTCATGTGATTGCTCTCCTACCTCCTCCACTCAGGTCAGGCAAACCCCCACGGCAGCGGGTAACGCATACCAGATGGCCAACCAAGCAAAACACTAAGCAACAAATGGAGCAGGACACTAGCATGTGGCAGCAGTTTTTTTATTGGCCCATGAACGCCGCTCATGCAGCCAGCACTGTGGACTTTCTGTGGACCGCGGGCACTTGGTAAATGTCAGGTGTCCCAGCTATCTTTAGCGTCGTTGTCCCTGGTGTAGCCCACTGTAAATGTCTCACTGGTTTGTAACAACATCTGATTGAGTCCTTGCTCTGCGCCAGGTCTGTGGTGCAGTGGTCAATGAAGGTGATGCAGCTGATATAGATTTCGGTCTAATGATCGAAAGGACAGGTCCTACATCAGATGGCATCCCGTGGTTTACTCCGTGTAGGATAACAGATGCTTGAGCCGTGGTGACGTTCATAAGTTCATAAATTTGCATGGGGCTCTTGAAATTTGGAGGCCCCCTATTGGCACAAACAATTACTGCACTAAGAGGGCCCCAAAGACTTTTTGAGTGTGGTGGGAGCGTATTCTTACTAGTTAGACCACACAGGGTGAGTACTTCAGCTTGCGATTTCCACAGGCATACGTCACAAATCCACAATCCTCTTTTTGTGGTAAAATGTCTCCACAGCTCTGGTTATTCACACTCAGTGGCCAGTGTCTTACTCACACCAGCGTGTGAATGCAAACACCCTCCAAAGAGTGGATCACGTGGCTGCAGCTGAATACCTACAGCAGGCAGACAGGGTCAGGAGGGTCAGTTATTGTTCATCTGAGCATTAGGACACCCGATCTAAGTGATTTTAAATCAAATGAGCTTGTTAGTGCCAGACATGGTGGTTCCAGCATCTCAGAAACAGCTACCCTCCTAGGATTTTCACATACTACAGTGTTTAGAGTTTACAGAGTACAATGCAATAATAAAAAACACTCTGGCATTTGTATTTCTGTGGCTAAAACCCCCTTGTTAATGAGAGAGGTCATAAGAGAACAGCCAGACTCGTTAAATCTAACAGGAAATTCAAAGAGACAGAAATGGATCTGATCCAGGACTGCTCAGGGATACCTAATAACGCTGCAACTGTTTGTATGTCTGTTGCATTTTACATAAGACCAGGTTTGACCAGTAGGGGGTGCTATAGGCCCTTGTATCTAAATACACCGAGACAGTGTGGCGCGTAAGTGATCTCCTAAACCATGAATTTTACCCTCGGTCTGGACTCCTGCCTGCTGTTCAGAGATGTAAGTGTGATATCTGATGGAACTGTCATCACCACAACTGTGTTGTTGAGCTTTTACAAAAATAGCTGCTACCACAATTCTGGTGTAAATGACATGTATACCACAGTAGTCAGCAATGTGGGGTCCTAAGTGGAGACTTTAAAGAAAAGCATTGACTGAAGGAACTCAGATTTATTATAATTTATTCTAATTCAAATCAAATTGATGCTATTTTTGTTATTCTTTTTGCATCAGGAATAGAAAGAATAATTAAAAAACCAAACAGAATATGATCTTGAGTGGCTTACTAGATTGACATACCTTTCCCCAGTTCAGATTGGGGGTTACAGGCAAGAGTTTTGTTCAGTTGGGGCTGCATGGTTAACGGCCTGTGACTTGGAGAGCCCAGCTTCATGGTGAATGGTCAGGGGTAGGGGTCTGGCAGCAGCACCCCCTCAGGTACCTGGGACTCTGCTGAGGGCTGCGGGGCTTTCCCACCTAGCCCTCCCGCAGGGTGCCAGCTGATCTGCAAGCTGAAAGGGTGCAACCGGAGAGCAGGCATCGCCTGCTGTCAGCCTTCTGTGACGTAGAAATGTCGTTTATCCAGAGCTGGAAACGGCTGCCTTCTCCAACTGACAATTTAAGACTGCAACTAGTATCAAAGATATATGCTTAATCAGAAAGATCACCGGTGATCTTGGAGCTTACATAATCTATTTAAGAAATCTATAATGTCATCCAGTGGCTTGTCCCCACTATTTAAATACGACGGCAATGATTTAAGAGCTAAATTTAGGGCTTAGATCGTAATTATTTCTATTCACTATTCAGTCTCGTTGCTGGCTGTGCAGGCCCCCTATTGAAAGCCACCAGGCTTTGTTCAGCGGTGACAATGACAGCGTCAATGTGGCCGTCTCCTGTTCAGTACAACACCTTCTGGTCAAAGCCCTGCCACACACCCCCAGCCGAATGAAACACCCCAATCATGCTGTGGTACAGAGAAAGCCAACCAGCACTCATTAATCACACACTAGACATTCTACCAGGCTATGAAGAAATTTAGGGAGAGAAATATACCAATTTTTGAAAGTCTTAATGGTCAAACAGAATCACTATTCAATCTTCATCAAATCATCAGAAAATAGCCACATTTTGGCAACTCCCACCGGAATCACTGTAAAGTCAAGCACAGATTTGAGTGAATGGGATGGACACCCACATGGAATTCTTGAATGCAGAGTGAAAGTGTTCCAAGTTCAATGGGAAATAGTACAGAAATGATGAATCCCTACATGGGATCAATAGTTCCTTTCTGACACAGAATAATACCAAAAAACCAAGTGACCCTTGAGGATCCCATATTAGGGGGGCAGCAGGACCCCAAAGTAATTTGACTTGAATATGCCATACAACAGC